AAACTCCGTATAGGGGTATTTCACTATTTCGAAAAAAAATTGCCTAATAGTCGTTTTTGAAATCTTGACCCATTCAACAAACAAAAGGAGGCTTTGAAAATCTGAATATTTCAAATTTGTCCACATTTTCGAATAGAGCTCGTTGAGTGCTATATTAATAGTAATAATAATAATAATAATAATTTATTCGCCATTTAGGTACAGTGTGTACATATGGTAAGTCATACAATGCGTAAGTCACATGATACAATAAAACCAAATTGTAGATCATTGAGTAAAAATAACAATCGTATGAATAAATAAAATCAAAACGGATCTGACGACAGCACAACACAGGATACATATTTAAAAGTGAAATGATTAACAGTATAAATAAAATCATAGACTGAGTCCAAATGACCACGACCATATATAATTAAAATCACTGAATTGAAGTTGTATTACGGAATAGGATGACAGCACACTACAAGTAAAATAATTCACAATAATGGATCATTCAAATATTCTTGATAGGAATAGTAACATTTGTCAGTCAGCAAACATTTTATTTTGTTAAAAAATAATCTATCACATTCAGAATTTTTAATTTCCGTTGGCAGTTTGTTGTAGAAACTCAGTGCTTTGTAGAGAAAATTTTGGAATTTCGTGGTTTTGTGGTTTGGTATTTTTAGGTTTTAGGACTACCATTGCGTGTGTTGTAAGCATGCGAAGAAGCATTGGTATCGAAGGATTTCAAGTTGCTTCTAATGCATTTCAAACATTTCAAAATATAGATGGATGGAGCAGTCAACAATTTCTCTCTTATAAATATTGGTTTGCAACTATCTCGATAGTCCACATCAAATATTAATCTTACGATACGTTTCTGCCCTATAAACACTCTACCAAAATCTTTACCACATCCCCATGACATAGTGTTGAAGGAAATGTGTGAGTATACCATTGCATAATAAATGCTTAATAAACTCTCCTTGCCTACACATGTTTTCATTTGCTTCATTGCAAAGAATGCTGAATTTAGTTTCTTGCATACATGATTGATATGTAGATCCCAGTCTAATCTCTCATCTAGAAATGTTCCCAAGAATTTTACATCATGCGACATAACTATTTCATCAATAGCGTTATTTATTTCACCAGGGATATTATCTTTCCTATTATAGAATTTCATTGAAACTGACTTTGTTGTGTTTAAAATGAGTTGATTTCTGTCACACCATAATGTGAACGAATCAATGATTTTGCCGACATTTGTTAATAGTACATCTGGATCAGGACTAGCAACTGTAATTGTTGTGTCATCAGCAAACATGGTGATGTAGCAATCAGTTACGTTTTCGGGCAGGTCGTTGACAAATAGCACGAATAGTAGGGGTCCTAAAACAGACCCTTGCGGTACTCCTAATTTAACATCACGCTCACCTGACGTAAAACCGTTATTTCTCACATATATGATTTCAACCATGTCAGAAAAGCAAGCAATTTCAACTTATTATTTAGAAATTCGGATGTCACCGTGTCAAATGCCTTTGACAAATCGAAAAACAGGCTAATTACACAATTGTTGGAATCTATCTCAGAGTAAACAAAATTGAGAAATTGGAATGATGCCGTTTCCACAGAATGATTTTTTCTAAAACCATGCTGGTTACCACATATCAAGTTGTTCATTTCCAAATAATTCATTATCCTAGCAGTTACTACTTTCTCATACAACTTATAAGATTTTCGTTTTTGAAAATCGGTCGGCGAGTTTCAAATTAGGAGGGTGGGTGTTGCGGGTTGAAATCGCACACACTGTATATAAATATTTATAAGACGCCCAACACTTTTTCTACGAGTGAGCCATTATCTTCATTAGACACGTGTGCAACAGTTGAAAATAATGCGAATTCTTGGAGAATTTCATTCCTCAGCGGTTTTCTATCATTCATTGCGCAGATTTAACGATTTATTAGATTCCCAGTGAATGATACTGTCACACGCCGATCTAATAAATTCCACACTGATTAATGTTTAAGACTTTTCAGCTTCGAGTTTATTACCCATTTTGATGGCTTGGAATAGGCGATTCAATACAGGAAACATTTTTCAAGTAAAATACTTTAAACTTCAGTTCACATTGTTAACGATTGTTGTTAGCCTTACGCCAAATTCAATTTTTTTTTCTCGATAAATCGGAAAATTGACCGGGTGATAGATAGAAACCGGGTCACCTAAAATTTTGCTAGCTTGTGTTTGTACCATTCTGTTAATGTTTTTTTTTATCGCTTGGAGCGTACGAAAGGAAATCCCTATAATGTTCAAAGAACATCGTGCTTTCCTAGGGGGGATAGGGACAGGAGGTAGGTATTGGAATTTTTTTTGAACTTCTGGAGATTATATGTTGTTGGGAATACTTCCTCAGGCAATGAATTCCAGAGCCTCAATTTTGTCCACAGAATCATTTTGGCACTGTTTGAAGATGATTATATGTTCCTCTACAAGGGACCTGTATTCGTGACAACACCCTGTATGATGAATATCTGGAAATACTGTCTGTAGGTTAATCGAGGTGGTGGTACATTCGTTATTCCAGATTTTTTGGAATTTTCTCTCCTCGTCTCCATAAAAAAAAATATGAATACTATTCCAATATACGTTTAGTTAGGACAAATCAGATGATTTGCTCCAAAGTGTCACTGCGTTTAAAGAATTTTCCTATCAGAGAGCCTAAAAGAAAAATTCACTAGCTTGTCAGTGACAATTTGTATTGAAAAAGGTTTTTTACTTATCTTTGGACGTTTCAGCAACGAATCTGCTCCCGTTTTCAACATAAAAAATTGATTTTTTCTGTGACGGGAAAAAAGTTTGGAATTTCATTTCTGTTGGCAGGTTATAAAATGTCACTTTCCATAAATTACTTTTTTCCCGTGGGAAAAAAGTGAGTACTTTTTTCCCGGATATATATCACATATATATACACTGTTGATGGCTTTTGTTGTGCTATAGTTCCGAAAAATGAGTCAATAATACCGTCTCCGAGAAAGAACTGCAAGTCCTTTTATCTTCCATTCGACTTCGCGGTTACGTATATTACTAAACAACCACTTAATTCGCAATTTTTTGAAACCAAATCACAGAATTAGACTGACAGAAGTGACATCAGATATTTGATTACTTCAAAAGAATGATAAAGATGCCTACAACGCAGGTGCCCCTACTGTTAAAAACTTAAAATTTCACGTCGATAATTTTCATATTTCAAAATAATGTAATATCTTCTCGATATTGATTCGTCCTTTCTTCTGTCACAGAAAAAAATAGTGTATTCAGATCCGAGAAGTACAGTGTTTGATATTTGACACAAAATCCGAGAAAACCATCCAGTCAAGCCGAATCGAAGAAACGATTCACAAAAAAAATGACCAGAGTATACTTCTCTGAATTCAGATCACCATGTTCGTACGGAAGGCGATATATTGATTTTTTTTTTCCAGATTCTCAAGCAAACAGATATTCACCTTTATGTCTCTATGGAAACACGACAGGTACTCTTACGAGGGGAGAGTACCAACTTTGCGTTCATAAACCCTCTCTGCAAAGGAGGTAGACGCTAGATGGGTTAGGTATATACAGTGTTTTTCATCGCAGAGAAAATTGTTGCTTATTTGCCTGTCTCGTATTCATTGAGATAGTTGATTCATTAATAAATTACAAAAATATATCGCATTCCAGTTACGAATGTTGAAAACTATATCCAGACTCTTCATTCTATGTTCGTCTCACGATACAAATTTCAAATCAATACTTAGTTTTAGGTCCGAGCAGCACAGTGTTTGGGATTCCAGGTCTTTATTATAAATCACGTTGAGTGGAAATGTGGATGAAGCCTACTGAGGAATCTTATATTCGAAAACAAAACTTGCATGTTGCAATCTGACTACGCACGTTGCAAAAATATTCAGGTGAGTTTCGAATTCAACATCCATGTACAGCATCTGATAATGATCATTTTTGATTCATATGATTCGATATTTGATATGTAATGTGCAGTTGCAGATCCGAGAAGCACAGTGCTTGATACTTGAAACAAAATCCGAGAAAGCCATCCAGTCAAGCCGAACCGAAGGAACGATCCACAAAGAAGAATGACCAGAGTATACTTCTTCAAATTCAGATCACCATGCTCGTACGGAAGGCGATATATTGATTTGTTTTTCAGATTCTCAAGCAAACAGATAGACAGATATTCACCTTTATGTCTCTATGGAAACACGACAGGTACCCTTACGAGGGGAGAGTACCAACTTTGCGTTCATAAACCCTCTCTGCAAAGGAGGTAGACGCTAGATGGGTTAGGTATATACAGTGTTTTTCATCGCAGAGAAAGTTGTTGCTTATCTGCCTGCCTCGTATTCATTGAGATAGTTGATTAATCAATAAATTACGAAAATATATCGCATTCCAGTTACGAATGTTGAAAACAATGTGCAGACTCTTCATTCCATTTTCGTCTCCACGATTCAAATTTCGAATTGATACTTAGTTTTAGATTCGAGAAGGACTTGATTATAACCCACGTAATGTGGAGATGTGGATGAACTCTACTGAGGAAGCTTCTTTTCGGAAACAATACTTATATGTTGCAATCCAACTACGAACGTTGCAAAAAATATTCAGGTAAGTTTCTAATTCAACATCCATGAACCGCATCCAATAATAATCATTTTTGATTCATATGATACGATATTTGATATGTGATGTTTAGTTGCAGATCCGAGAAGCACAGTATTTGATATTTGACACAAAATCCGAGAAAATCATTTATTTGCTAGAATGTCACAGGGAAACACCCCTTGAATTTTCTTGGTGTGATTTAGATAACCTCCAAAAGTTCGCGAATTCTCACTATGGAAACCAAGCTTCACAGCTAGTCGTCACTCAGTGTCATTTTTGACAAACAGTTTTATACATATTTTCTCTTTTTGATATACACTTTCCACCATTTCTAATCGTAAATGGAACCGAGCAAAGAAAACCAACTGAAGCCTTCACGAACGGCATACAGGAGATTATCAGAAGAAGCCGATATCCTGGTACCTAGGCCTAGCATCGTGCTACCACAATTGCAAGAAACAGAGAAAAAGTTTTTCGAACTTGTCGCCACAGGTAAACTAAATCCAACTCATCCCGATTTTGAACAAAACATCCAGGTATAGTACGATAAGTACTTCGCATAGGTATGGTAAATTTTTTGTTACCTACTTATTTTTGTCTGAAAAACAGGAATTCGATAATGAAAATGTGAACAAACCACTATTTATCGAGATATTTCAAGAAAAAGTTCGAAATGTCGCTGCCTTTTCTCCCCTGTCTTGGATGCATTCACAGCTACTTGCTCTTCTTATTTTGTCATTGGACTCTTTATACACTGTGTCCATAAAGTCACCCCCCCCTGGTTAACTTTAGGACGGATAGGATTTTTTTTTTCAATTTTTTCCTGCTTCAATGGTAGTTTCAGTGCTACATATTGTTCCAAAAACAAAATATGTATCCTCCAAAATGGCGCCTGGTAGTTACGTGGAATAAACATTGTTCTTTATTTTGAATAAATATTTCTAAAATTTTGCAGAATTTGGAAAGACAATCGAGCAAAGGTAATAATTGACTACCATGTTATTCTCTTCAAAATGGCTTCCTATTGATATCTTCATAGATAGAGAACTCTTCTATACGCCAACAGAGATTTGAAGATCACATGCGAGCACTTTAATAGCCATCTAGTCGAAAGTATTCTGGTGTGAGATTTCAAACGTTATCATCCGCCATTTTGTTTTGGATGAATATTTTCGTCTGAGATTCTGAGGTTGTATAGAGAATCGAAAGACCTTTCAATCGAGGTATCTTTCGACCACCCACTCCATTTAAAAAAATCTTTCAAAATGGCGCCCAAGCGCCATTTTGGAGGATACATATTTTTTTTTGGAGCAATATGTAGCACTGAATCTACCATTGGAGCAAAAAAAAATTGAAAAAAAAATCCCATCCGTTCGATAGTTAACCAGGGAGGGGGGTGACTTTATGGACACAGTGTATACTTATGATGTACTTCAATAACAAATTTTTAAATAGAAAATTCAACACGAAATGTGGTTTTTATGGCGAGTTTTTCATATTCAGTAAACAATCATACCAGATGACAGCCATTTAATCAATAATCAATCCGAATACATCATCACATTAATTAAAATCTGTACCTATGATAGGTATAAGGTAATAGGTATCTGCACCTTCATGAAAGCTCAATAATATTAAGGATAATGATTCAGGCACACACTATATAAACTCTCTTGATCTTGATAGGTACCTAACTATTATTAATGTTTGTAAAAATGTATTTATTGAAAAAAACATTCTAATATAACATATCGCTGCCTCTACAGAATAGTGACACATTTCAAAATTGTTCTTTTTTCAGGAGAGGATTTTTAAGATTTCAAATTCATTAAAATTGTGATATCTCCTATGGATAATCGATTATCTGATTGAAATTTTCAAACTTCATTGTTACAATATGGTCTTCCTAGTCCAGTATCTTGGTTTCTTTCGATGTCTATCAAAAAAGATTGTTTTTGAGAAAAAATCAAAAATGTGTCACTGTTTTGAAGAGACATTGAAGAATTTTGTTTTTATTTCCTGCAAAATATTGAACATTTTCGAATGAAATGCTGAAGAAGTCGTGCAAAAATAACTTTATTTATTGACATCGAAACAAAGGAACAATTATATTAAGAATTAAACAGCAACACAAACGAAAACTTCGGATCCGATATAAACCAGACATGATAGTTTGATTTCTTAAAGACTATTATAAAATCCCTCGTAAAATTTGGGTATTATATTTTTTTTAATTAAATCCATCAGGCCTTTCTTCTTCTTTTCAGAAATGGGGAGGTTTCGTTTATACATTTGCTTGAGAGAACCGGCAGTTCGATTGGAATTCGTGTTTTTCTTGCTTGATCTCCTATTATTCTTTTCGACTTCAACTTTCTTGAATTCTGGATCACTGTAGGAGTTTTTGTAGAAAAATACAGCAGGATGTTCCTTCTCTACTCTAACTATTTTCGCATTAGATAATTTGAATGTCTCATTGTCCGTATTCTTAGAGTAATTATTTCCAATTTCGGGGGCGAGGCTTTTTATGTCGTAGAAGGAATCATGGGCAAATTAGTGGACTTTATAAGGAATTCTATTCTCTTTGGTGCCTCGGATCAAATTCACGTATTGGTCTGGTGTGTAAATAGGACCAGATTTCAGTGACCGTTTGATCTTCCTCTCTATGACGGAGTGGACGCTATCTCCCTCATTTTGTGTGTGGCCTTTGATTAGGAACTTATGCGTTATTGAATTAAGGAATTGGAATTTTGAAACTGCATACAAATACAACGCTATCATGAAATGGTTTTTTTGTTGCCCGCAACAATTATCTGAGAAGAATATGACATCTAACATTCTTCCTGAACTCGCATTTTGATTCAAAATCTCGAGATAATTATAGATACATGAACCAATTTCATTCACACCACGGTTTCCTTCGCCTTCGTGCCATACAAAACAGTGAACCTCTTTATTTTTCAAGTTGTAAATTGTGAAATTCAGGGTATTTATTTTGGAGACGTAATAAAAATTGGATACGTCTCCTCTCGGGCAAGGTAGGGTTCCCTGCAAGTCATAAACTGCTACAATGCAAGAAGGATCATCATTGTTCTTATCCTTTTCTTTTTCCAGTCGAGACATCGTTTTTTCCTTGAGATGATCATCATAACTTGATTTCAGCTGCTGTTTAGTCTCCAAATCTGCGTTAAGATAAGAAGTGCAATCTTCGCATTGATCCTTCTTAGGAGTGAAGAAAGCTATATTGAATTCTGTACAAAATATTCTATGGTACATGACATAGTTTCCGTAGGGTACGTTTTTCCTAATACAATCATTGACGTAGTCTCTATGTAACTCGGCTACAGATTTTCCCCCATCAATGAAGGCTCTCGTTGTGTCTGCTCTACAGTAATGGCTCTCGATTCTTGGTATGGAATCGATATGATAGCGAATTCCATCTTTGATGGTGTTGTCAAGTTTCTTATGATTTCCATGCTTGCCTCGATGATCTAGAGAAACAAAACCCCCAATAGGGTTACTTCTTTTGGAGAGAACGGTCCTAATTGGGCGATCATTTATTCCCAAAGTTGATCGGAAAAATGGCTTGCATACACGAATTTTCTTATAGTCTACAACGAAATAGAAGGCGTTTTTACCAGCACAATGACTATCAGGTTTTCTGTATGTATATTTTGGTTCAATTGCTATAATGTTAGATGATAAAAATTCTCGTTGTCTTTGTAAATCGCCGAGTTGCCAATAAGTCAAAAAAATGTTGTGGCGCTGCTCTTCTGTAACTTTTGCATAACACTTATGCTTGCATCGATCGGTACATGGGGGACCTATTTTCTTCTCGGGAACTAATATTTTGTTCCTCTTGGAATTGGAGATATACGATTTTCCGGCATTTCTCAAACGTTTAGCAGTCTCCTTTATTGATCCTGAAGGGTTTGCTTTCCTTTTCCGCCCTCTCTTCATAGTTTCTGTCACAATATTTGAATTGCTTTCATCTTCTCTCACTTCTACATCTACATCTCTTTCTTCATCTCTTTCTGCACCTCTTTCTCCATCTCTTTCTGCACCTCTTTCTTCATCTCTTTCTGCACCTCTTTCTTCATCTTCTTCTGCACCTCTTTCTTCATCTCTTTCTGCACCACTTTCTTCATCTCTTTCGGAATATCTTTCTCTATCTCTTTCTTCATCTCTTTCGGAATGTCTTTCTCTATCTCTTTCATCTTCTATTTCTTCTTCAGACGAAGACTCAGAAGAAGAAGATGAGTTTGTAGAACTAGCCGACGAACTAGAAGATGAAGTATTATCTCTTTTATACATAGGATCTTTCACACTGTCATCCGAAGAAAAATCCTGGAATGATCCATCACTTTCCTCTTGCACATTCATGTTGGATTCATCCATAACTGAAATCGAACAGTACTTTAGGAGATTTTCAAGTATATTGGTAGTACAAAAATATAATTATTTATTTGGAGCTCCCATTACCTTGCAATACATCAGAACTTATACCACAACCATCATTGGTTTCACTATTGTTATCAAGTTCTGTAACCACCGTATGTTCAGGCTTTTCTTGTGGTATTCCTAAAAATTAAGGAAACCGGTTATGTCAACTAAAAACATGCGGAGAAATTTATTTTATTTATTCTAATATATCTGATACCTTTTGAAAATATAGCACTACTATTGCTATTGTCTACTACTGGTGGTGTGTCTACTACTGGTGGTGGGTGAAATATGCCTTCATAGTTTTGGGGATGGTTTTCTTTTTCCGACAGAAAATCTATAAATTTGAAATACTAGTAATTATTGATGTTGAACATTTGAGATAAGAAAGTCAATGGCATCCAAGACATACAATGTTCATTTGATAAAACCCATATTCATCGATTCGATATCATTTGGTTTATAATTTTTGTCTCTCACCGATATTTTTTCGCAGCTCCACTTTTCCTTTTGCTTCTGTCATAGCTTGCTTCAACAATAGCTTGAACTTGGATCTGGGGTTTTCCATGATATTTAAAGCTGTAATATCACAATTCAAAAATTCTATGGAAACTGAATACAAAATCCAGCATGAAAATTAGATATCAAATTCACGCTATAAGAATCTAGGAAAGATTTTTTGATAACACGTCATTTGAAAACATTGTAAAGACTAATCAATGCAAATGCATCTATGCAAAATGTGATAGGAAGTCGATATAATCATAGTAAAAATTCTTGAATATAAAAAAAAACATTATTTGCGTTACATTGAAAAATGATGAGATATTATTTATTACGAGAATATGGTCTTATTTCGAAATATATCCCTGAAAATGTAGAGAAGAATGACACGTAGCATAAGAGTCACTATCGCAATTAATTTTTGGACTGAAAAGTTGGAATAATCTCTGGAAGGATGACATATTTTGAAAAGAGACGTTATTCTGTGTGAAATATAATGAATCGATACTTACTATGATAAGAAGAACGACACGATACAAAATATGTCGATATTTCCTAGAACATTGTTTTGAAATTGCTGTTATGTTTTGAAATATGTCGTTATTCTCTAGAAGTTACACACTCACTCGCCGGCAAGAACAAAACTACTGGAAATAGGACGTTATTTCCCATAAAAAGGTCGGAATTTGATGAGTAAAGAATAATGACACTTGCGCCATCTCTCGTAGATAATTTGAAATATGCGTATAGGTCATTTTTTCCGATAAACTAGATACAGTTTTGAGTCGAAATCTACATCTAACTCAAAACAGCCACTCTTTGAAATGTGTCACTATTCTTTAGAGGCAGCGATATATTATTTTTAGTTCAAGTCAAATCAATGACGCTTTAAAATATAATAATTTCAGTACTTTCAAATAGGAAATTTCTCAACTATCTATAGGTAGGTACGTAGATGATATCTAGTCTTTATGATCTACATAAATGATGGTGATTGCTTCTACTGATTCATCTACATCTTCTATGACCTGTTATATTTGCCAATCATCTTCAGCTCTTCTACTCCTGGAAGATGAAGGGTGTCCTACTTCAGTTATTCTTCCTTTTTAATTGTGAAGTATTCGCCAAACTTTTCTGGAATCAATACTACTTTGAAAAGAGAGGTTATTGCTCTCAGGCTTTGGGCTTCAGCTCTACCTATTTTAGGTATGATATTCCTCATGTCTAGATTGATATTTCCAAATACCTACGTTCATGGACTTTCGGTAAGATCTGTCATAGTTTCTTCTGAATTTCACGAAAAACATCACTATACTAAATTTGGGAAAGGATTTCGAAACACATTATTCCCAGTGGCGTGTTTAGAATCTCGCTTTAGGAGAGAGCGAGGCAAAAATAAAAAATGTTTCCAAAATTTGTCGTGATACATTGACCGATATAATTAAACGAAACAACACCAGAACAACCATTCTTTTTTATTTTGGCTAAGCAATGAACAAACATGGAAAATAGCATACTTATAAATTTTCTTAGATCAATTATTATTTCAACCTGACCAGTCTTCGAGGCTCATTCGTCTGGCTTTACTTGTGGCGAACCTATTTATTACATTTTCAATATTCAAATCAACTTCTTTGTGAATATTAAGTAAAGTTTGACCATTCAAACGCTCTTCACCCATGGCTGACCTTAAGTGGGTTTTCAAGTGCTTTATCGTTGGAAAGCTCCTTTCCGCTGTTGCCGTTGATACAGGTAGAGTCACAAATATTTGCAGTAAAATCTTTATTGCAGGGAACAAACTCGCCCCAAAACAAAGTGCTTCGATTGCTGTAGAGGGCAAATCTGGTTTATTTGCCCATCTTTTTTGCCACATTATTATTTCAGCTCTTAGTTCTTGTTTTGATATGACTCGAGATTACTCATGCAAAGTTACCACCGTCACCAACTACCTAACTCAGCGACTCTACAGTCTACAGCTAACTGAACACTCTGAACAGTAAACGCTGATCATTTGGCAGCCACGTGATCGCCACCGATTATATGAACGGAAACGAAAACACGATCGCCGAATACTATTCTTCTTCTCAACTGTTCGTATGTCTAGTTTTTCAGTGTATAAAATATTCACACCGTATAGCATAAAACAATCATCATATATTAATAATTAAATGGTAGATTTTTATAAATATTAAATAAGACTGGACGAACCGACATTTTCGTGTTTTTTTATTGGAGTGTAGCCTGCTTGGAGGGGGGGGGGCGGTCCCCTCTGGTCCTCCCTTAAACACGCCACTGAATTTTATTCCCATATAAACCCATGCAATCAATTCTAATGTTTACCCTCCAAGCAGCTAAACGACGCCCATTTGATCACGTGCCGCAGATGCCTAATTGAAAAAAAACACCATCACCCCCATTCTGACTTTTACAGGCGACGTCGTGGTAGTCAGAGAATACCTCGAAAACCACCCAGCTCTCAACATCAACTGCACCAACTTCCAAGGTGTATCAGCCCTCTTGATCTCCGTCCAATCCCACGCCGAAACCATGGTGGAGTTCCTGCTCACCCAACCAGGCATCGACATAGGTATGGAACACCGTTTCATTTCTTATTGGACATTTTATTGTACACCAGTTTTTTTTACTTTGCATGTAAATGGTTGGCATTCCACTTTTCAGCAGGCGCGCTGTCGTAAAATCTACGTCAAACATCTATTATTTCGGATTTATGCAACATTTGCATAGTCCTAGTCTTAGTTCTAAGCATAGTCTTATTATTAATTTTTGTCTTGAAGATTTGAGGTATTTATCCAGAAACATTCAAACTTGATTTAAGCATAAGAGTCATGTGAGAATTTGTGGTTCTTTTCGAATCAGAGATAAGGAAAATCATCTATCAAACTTATCAACATCTGAGCTTTCTCATAATATTATTTATCTGATGGCATGTCATAATGACAACGTTATGTCACTCAATTTTGATGACATAAGGAAGCTCATTATGGGACTAAGTACCATAATGAATTCATTATGGTACTGAGTACCATAATGAAATTCTATAAGGAAAACATGTAATGGTTTGATCAAAAAAGTTTATTCAAAATGCATAACTATGTACAAAACTATTTATTATAAATGGTAAAGGAACAATTACTACAATTTGTAATATTAATATAATGGCAAAGCACAGCTCACTCACCTACTAATATTTGAAACTACACAATACTTACTCCTTTAAAAATAGTTGTCATTGTGACATGTCGAAAATGCAGTTTTTAATTTTTCGAAAATGTATTGATATAAATGCCATCAGATAAAATTTTGTATGTGATACGAATCATAAACAATCATTATGGCACACGCCGTGTTATCGGACTCGGCTACGCCTCGCCCGATAACATTCACGACTTGTACCATAATCGTCTTTATGATCCTTATTACATAAATAACTATTTCGGAACATGTAAACAACAAATCATCAACAATTCTATCAAAGGAGCATGCGCCGAATCCACATAACATAAGCATAAAAGTTCAAATCAGTCAACTGTCAAGGTCGTTTCTTAGGCTTGTGCTTATGCTTAAGACTAAATTTGGTGTGTAAACGGCCTCATGCAAGTACCTTGTATCAATTTCTAGTTCTTCAAATTATGACTAAGACTATGATTAGGACTATGCAAATGTTGCATAAATCCACCATTAGTTGTGTGAATTCTTTTATAAAATAATAGTATTCTCGTATTTTTCGTGATTTTTCAATTTCAGTTTTCAAATCTGACAGTCACGTTATAGTTAACCAACCATACAAACCAGCTCACTGAGGTCCTGAGGTAGTTCACAGAGTAGTTAAGGCTTCTGATTGGGCACTGCAATATTGGCTTTTGTTGTTGATATAATCTGAGGTTATATAATTTTCAAGACAAAATAATAATTATACTTCCTGAAGAGAAAAATATGGATACGAAGTATTTTTCAATGAGAGATCTCATCATATTATTGATGAAAATAAATATTTGAGTCATTGTAAATAAGTACGTAGCGAATTGTTCCAATTTTCATGAATTTGAAGTTGATGAGTATGTACCTAGTTCCCATATACCTAATAATACCGATATATTTTTTTACAGATGATAGATTTCTTATTCATAATTCTATTTTTCAGTCCCAGCACAAGGTTGATTTTCATTTTTTTAGGATATGAATTGTAATTCATATATTTATTTGAACAAGTTGGTTTTATGAACCAGTCAAGAATAATAGTATTGTCATTTTTTCTGATAAGTAGAGTATCTAAAAAAGATACCTTTCTATATCAGTTTCTCTCTCTGAAGTAAATTGTAAATGTGGACTATAGTTATTGAAAATTTCGAGAATTGTGACAATACCATCTTCAGGGACTGTACAAATGATATCATATAATACAGTCGATAAATTATTCAATAAACAATATATCAATATACCTTTCAATTTAGTTCGCGGGCGTTAAAGTGTCACTTTACGTCCGCGAACCGGACGGTAAAGTGCTACTTTACGTCCGCGAACCGGGCGGTAAAGTGCTACTTTACGTCCGCTCGTGCTGAAGAGTAAAACGGCGTTTCGTGCATAGGCGACTGCGTACTGCATGCCGTCAGAGACGGCCACGCCGCCATCTTGACCCTGCTTTTGGACAAGCTGGCACAGACTTCTCCCAGCCTGGAATTCGTCGGCGTCACGCGCAGCTCCGACTTTCCCGATCACGTGACACCGCTGATACTCGCCGCCCAGTGCGGCCACTACGAGATCATCAAGATGCTGATCGAGAGAGGGCACTCGATCAGCAAGCCTCATCCGCCGTCGTGCAGGTTGGTCCATTATCAATCTAAGATTCCGAATCTATACACATTTTTTTTACCACTAGCTATAAAACCTACCATTATTTACTCCCTTTGAAGACGTAAAGTGTGTTGTTACTACCAAACCAAGGTAGTTTTCGTCATATAATTAACCACTAGTCAATAAAGACATAGCCAGCTCTGTTCAAATCAACCCGAATTCACTGTTATAATGCGATATCTGCAAAGATGGGACTCGAATCTAGTAGGTCGGTGAAAATTCATGATAATATAGGTTAGTTCAGGTCGAAAAATATGTTGAAAACGAATCAGGACTCAGATTTGGTCCAATACTTTTCGTTAGATTTCTCTACAATAGCAATTCAAGATAATATAGGATCGTTCAGGTGGAAAAATATTTTTTCTCCCCGAGCGTCCGACACATCTGAAAAATTCCAAAGACACTAATTTTGAAATGTTGAAAACGAATCAGGGCTGGTCCAAATCTATCCGTTAAAATTGTCAAAAATAGCAATTCATGATAATTTAGGTTAGCTCAGGTCGACAAATATTTTTATTTCTGACAGTGACATTATAAGCTTATATCGTCATAGTTACGATATCTATAATGAGGGTCATAACTCCCTTGGGATGTTATAGATGCTATAATTCCCTCTAGCTAAAATTAAATAAAAAATGCATAGCAACAACCACGCAATAACGTAGCAATAAGAAATCTCCTATTCGCGGTAGTCAAGATCAACTTCGACGTTCTGATGACATTGAAACTATACGGAAAAACATGTCTAACTTCCAATCGGGAAGGTATCTAATGAATGAAATCAGTCAGAAATAAAATTATCTATGTATAACTATTTCTTCTCGGGCGTCCTACACATCTGAGAAACTCCAAAGACACCAATTTTGACATGTTAAACGACTCAGGAATCAGATTTGGTCCAAGACTTCTCGTTAAAATTTTCAAAAATAGCAATTCATGATAATATAGGTTAGTTCACGTCGAAAAATATTTTTTCTCCCCGAGCGTCCTACACATCTGAAAAACTCCAAAGACACTAATTTTGACATGTTAAAAACGAATCGAGAATTAGATTTGGTCCAAGACTTCTCGTTGAAATTTTCAAAAATAGCAATTCATGATAATATAGGTTCGTTCACGTCGAAAAATAGTTTTTCTCCCCGAGCGTCCTATACATTTGAAAAACTCCAATGACACTAATTTCGACATCCTTGAAACGAATTTGGAATCAGGTTTGGTCCAAGACTTTTCGTTGAAATTTTCAAAAATAGCAATTCATGATAATATAGGTTCGTTCACGTCATAAAATATTTTTTCTTCCCGAACGTCCTACACATCTGAAAAACTCCAAAGACACTAATTGTGACATGTTAAACACGAATCAGGAATCAGATCGGGTCCAAGACTTTTCGTTAAAATTTTCAAAAATAGCAATTCATGATAATATAGGTTCGTTCACGTCGAAAAATATTTTTTCTCCCCGAGCGTCCTATACACCTGAAAAACTCCAGACACTAATTTTGATATTCTTGAAACGAATCTGGAATCAGATTTGGTCCAAGACTTTTCGTTAAAATTTTCAAAAATAGCAATTCATGATAATATAGGTTCGTTCACGTCGAAAAATATGTTTTCTCCCCGAACGTCCTACACTTCTGAAAAACTCCAAAGACACTAATTTTGATATTCTTGAAACGAATCTGGAATCAGATTTGGTCCAGGACTTTTCGTTAAAATTTTCGAAAATAGCAATTCATGATAATATAGGTTTGTTCACGTCGAAAAATATTTTTTCTCCCCCAGCGTCCTATACACCTGAAAAACTCCAAAGACACTAATTTTGACATGTTAAAAACGAATCAGGAATCAGATTGGGTCCAAGACTTCTCGTTAAAATTTTCAAATATAGCAATTCATGATAATATAGGTTCGTTCACGTCGAAAAATATTTTTTTTCCCCGAGCGTCCTACACATCTGAAAAACTCCACAGACACTAATTCTGACATGTTAAAAAAGAATCAGGAATCAGATTTGGTCTAAGACTTTTCGTTAAAATTTTCAAAAATAGCAATTCATGATAATATAGGTTTGTTCACGACAAAAAATATGTTTTCTCCCCGAGCGTCCTACACATCTGAAAAACTCCAAAAACACTAATTGTGACATGTTGAACACGAATCAGGAATCAGATTGGGTCCAAGACTTTTCGTTAAAATTTTCAAAAATAGCAATTCATGATAATATAGGTTCGTTCACGTCGAAATATATTTTTTCTCCCCGAGCGTCCTACACATCTGAAAAACTCCAAAGACACTAATTCTGACATGTTAAGAACGAATCAGGAATAAGATTTGGTCCAAGACTTTTCGTTAAAATTTTCAAAAATAGCAATTCATGATAATATAGGTTCGTTCACGTCGAAAAATATTTTTTCTCCCCGAGCGTCCTACACACCTGAAAAACTCCAAATACACTAATTTTGACATTCTTGAAACGAATCTGGAATCAGATTTGGTCCAAGACTTTTCGTTAAAATTTTCAAAAATAGCAATTCATGATAATATAGGTTCGTTCACGTCGAAAAATATTTTTTCTCCCCGAGCGTCCTACACATCTGAAAAACTCCACAGACACTAATTTTGACATGTTAAAAACGAATCAGGAATCAGATTGGGTCCAAGACTTCTCGTTAAAATTTTCAAAAATAGCAATTCATGATAATATAGGTTCGTTCACGTCGAAAAATATTTTTTCTCCCCGAGCGTCCTACACATCTGAAACAATCCAAAGACACTAATTGTGACATGTTAAAAACGGATCAGGAATCAAATATGGTCCAAGACTTCTCGTTAAAATTTTCAAAAATAGCAATTCATGATAATATAGGTTCGTTCACGTCGAAAAATATTTTTTCTCCCCGAGAGTCCTACACATCTGAAAAACTCCAAAGACACTAATTGTGACATGTTTAAAACGAATCTGGAATCAGATTTGGTCCAAGACTTTTCGTTAAAATTTTCAAAAATAGCAATTCATGATAATATAGGTTCGTTCACGTCGAAAAATATTTTTTCTCCCCGAGCGTCCTACACATCTGAAAAACTCCACAGACACTAATTTTGACATGTTAAAAACGAATCAGGAATCAGATTGGGTCCAAGACTTCTCGTTAAAATTTTCAAAAATAGCAATTTATGATAATATAGGTTCGTTCACGTCGAAAAATATTTTTTCTCCCCGAGCGTCCTACACATCTGAAACACTCCAAAGACACTAATTGTGACATGTTAAAAACGGATCAGGAATCAAATATGGTCCAAGACTTCTCGTTAAAATTTTCAAAAATAGCAATTCATGATAATATAGGTTCGTTCACGTCGAAAAATATTTTTTCTCCCCGAGCGTCCTACACATCTGAAATACTCCACAGACACTAATTCTGACATGTTAAAAAAGAATCAGGAATCAGATTTGGTCCAAGACTTTTCGTTAAAATTTTCAAAAATAGCAATTCATGATAATATAGGTTTGTTCACGACAAAAAATATGTTTTCTCCCCGAGCGTCCTACACATCTGAAAAACTCCAAAAACACTAATTGTGACATGTTGAACACGAATCAGGAATCAGATTTGGTCCAAGACTATTCGTTGAAATTTTCAAAAATAGCAATTCATGATAATATAGGTTCGTTCACGTCGAAAAATATTTTTTCTCCCCGAGCGTCCTACACATCTGAAAAACTCCAAAGACACTAATTTTGACATGTTAAAAACGAATCAGGAATCAGATTTGGTCCAAGACTTTTCGTTAAAATTTTCAAAAATAGCAATTCATGATAATATAGGTTCGTTCACGTCGAAAAATATTTTTTCTCCCCGAGCGTCCTACACACCTGAAAAACTCCAAACACACTAATTTTGACATTCTTGAAACGAATCTGGAATCAAATATGGTCCAAGACTTCTCGTTAAAATTTTCAAAAATAGCAATTCATGATAATATAGGTTCGTTCACGTCGAAAAATATTTTTTCTCCCCGAGCGTCCTACACATCTGAAAAACTCCAAAGACACTAATTGTGACATGTTGAAAACGAATCTGGAATCAGATTTGGTCCAAGACTTTTCGTTAAAATTTTCAAAAATAGCAATTCATGATAATATAGGTTCGTTCACGTCGAAAAATATTTTTTCTCCCCGAGCGTCCTACACATCTGAAGAACTCCGAAGACACTAATTTTGACATTCTAAAAACGAATCTGGAATCAGATTTGGTCCAAGACTTCTCGTTGAAATTTTCAAAAATAGCAATTCATGATAATATAGGTTTGTTCACGTCGAAAAATATTTTTTCTCCCCGAGCGTCCTGTACATCTGAAGAACTCCAAAGACACTAATTTCGACATTCTTGAAACGAATCTGGAATTAGATTTGGTCCAAGACTTCTCGTTAAAATTTTCAAAAATAGCAATTCATGATAATATAGGTTCGTTCACGTCGAAAAATATTTTTTCTCCCCGAGCGTCCTACACATCTGAAACACTCCAAAGACACTAATTGTGACATGTTACAAACGAATCAGGAATCAGATTGGGTCCAAGACTTTTCGTTAAAATTTTCAAAAATAGCAATTCATGATAATAGGTTTGTTCACGTCGAAAAATATGTTTTCTCCCCGAGCGTCCTATACATCTGAAAAACTCCGAAGACACTAATTTTGACATTCTAAAAACGAATCTGGAATCAGATTTGGTCCAGGACTTTTCGTTAAAATTTTCAAAAATAGCAATTCATGATAATATAGGTTCGTTCACGTCGAAAAATATTTTTTCTCCCCGAGCGTCCTACACATCTGAAAAACTCCAAAGACACTAATTGTGACATGTTTAAAACGAATCTGGAATCAGATTTGGTCCAAGACTTTTCGTTAAAATTTTCAAAAATAGCAATTCATGATAATATAGGTTCGTTCACGTCGAAAAATATTTTTTCTCCCCGAGCGTCCTATACATCTGAAAAACTCCAAAGACACTAATTTTGACATTCTAAAAACGAATCTGGAATCAGATTTGGTCCAAGACTTCTCGTTGAAATTTTCAAAAATAGCAATTCATGATAATATAGGTTTGTTCACGTCGAAAAATATTTTTTCTCCCCGAGCGTCCTGTACATCTGAAGAACTCCAAAGACACTAATTTCGACATTCTTGAAACGAATCTGGAATTAGATTTGGTCCAAGACTTCTCGTTAAAATTTTCAAAAATAGCAATTCATGATAATATAGGTTCGTTCACGTCGAAAAATATTTTTTCTCCCCGAGCGTCCTACACATCTGAAACACTCCAAAGACACTAATTGTGACATGTTACAAACGAATCAGGAATCAGATTGGGTCCAAGACTTTTCGTTAAAATTTTCAAAAATAGCAATTCATGATAATAGGTTTGTTCACGTCGAAAAATATGTTTTCTCCCCGAGCGTCCTATACATCTGAAAAACTCCGAAGACACTAATTTTGACATTCTAAAAACGAATCTGGAATCAGATTTGGTCCAAGACTTTTCGTCAGAATTTTCAAAATCAGCAATTCATGATAATATAGGATCGTTCAGGTGGATAAATATTTTTTCTCCACGAAGGTCCTACACATCTGAAAAACTTCAAAGACACTAATTTTGACATGTTGAAAACGAATCAGGAAACAGATTGGGTCCAAGACTTTTCGTTAAAATTTTCAAAAATAGCAATTCATGATAATATAGGTTTGTTCACGACAAAAAATATGTTTTCTCCCCGAGCGTCCTACACATCTGAAAAACTCCAAAAACACTAATTGTGACATGTTAAAAACGAATCAGGAATAAGATTTGGTCCAAGACTTTTCGTTAAAATTTTCAAAAATAGCAATTCATGATAATATAGGTTCGTTCACGTCGAAAAATATTTTTTCTCCCCGAGCGTCCTACACATCTGAAAAACTCCAAAGACACTAATTCTGACATGTTAAAAACGAATCAGGAATAAGATTTGGTCCAAGACTTTTCGTTAAAATTTTCAAAAATAGCAATTCATGATAATATAGGTTCGTTCACGTCGAAAAATATTTTTTCTTCCCGAGCGTCCTACACACCTGAAAAACTCCAAAGACACTAATTTTGACATTCTTGAAACGAATCTGGAATCAAATATGGTCCAAGACTTCTCGTTAAAATTTTCAAAAATAGCAATTCATGATAATATAGGTTCGTTCACGTCGAAAAATATTTTTTCTCCCCGAGCGTCCTACACATCTGAAAAACTCCAAAGACACTAATTGTGACATGTTAAAAACGAATCTGGAATCAGATTTGGTCCAAGACTTTTCGTTAAAATTTTCAAAAATAGCAATTCATGATAATATAGGTTCGTTCACGTCGATAAATATTTTTTCTCCCCGAGCGTCCTACACATCTGAAAAACTCCGAAGACACTAATTTTGACATTCTAAAAACGAATCTGGAATCAGATTTGGTCCAAGACTTCTCGTTAAAATTTTCAAAAATAGCAATTCATGATAATATAGGTTTGTTCACGTCGAAAAATATTTTTTCTCCCCGAGCGTCCTATACATCTGAAAAACTCCAAAGACACTAATTTTGACATTCTAAAAACGAATCTGGAATCAGATTTGGTCCAAGACTTTTCGTTAAAATTTTCAAAAATAGCAATTCATGATAATATAGGTTCGTTCACGTCGAAAAATATTTTTTCTCCCCGAGCGTCCTACACATCTGAAAAACTCCAAAGACACTAATTTTGACATGTTAAAAACGAATCAGGAATCAGATTTGGTCCAAGACTTTTCGTTAAAATTTTCAAAAATAGCAATTCATGATAATATATAGGTTTGTTCACGTCGAAAAATATTTTTTCTCCCCGAGCGCCCTACACATCTGAAAAACTCCAAAGACACTAATTGTGACATGTTAAAAACGAATCAGGAATCAGATTTGGTCCAAGACTTCTCGTTAAAATTTTCAAAAATAAAAATTCATGATAATATAGGTTTGTTCACGTCGAAAAATATTTTTTCTCCCCGAGCGTCCTATACATCTGAAAAACTCCAAAGACACTAATTTTGACATTCTAAAAACGAATCTGGAATCAGATTTGGTCCAGGACTTTTCGTTAAAATTTTCAAAAATAGCAATTCATGATAATATAGGTTCGTTCACGTCGAAAAATATTTTTTCTCCCCGAGCGTCCTACACATCTGAAAAACTCCAAAGACACTAATTGTGACATGTTTAAAACGAATCTGGAATCAGATTTGGTCCAAGACTTTTCGTTAAAATTTTCAAAAATAGCAATTCATGATAATATAGGTTCGTTCACGTCGAAAAATATTTTTTCTCCCCGAGCGTCCTATACATCTGAAAAACTCCAAAGACACTAATTTTGACATTCTAAAAACGAATCTGGAATCAGATTTGGTCCAAGACTTCTCGTTGAAATTTTCAAAAATAGCAATTATTCATGATAATATAGGTTTGTTCACGTCGAAAAATATTTTTTCTCCCCGAGCGTCCTGTACATCTGAAGAACTCCAAAGACACTAATTTCGACATTCTTGAAACGAATCTGGAATTAGATTTGGTCCAAGACTTCTCGTTAAAATTTTCAAAAATAGCAATTCATGATAATATAGGTTCGTTCACGTCGAAAAATATTTTTTCTCCCCGAGCGTCCTACACATCTGAAACACTCCAAAGACACTAATTGTGACATGTTACAAACGAATCAGGAATCAGATTGGGTCCAAGACTTTTCGTTAAAATTTTCAAAAATAGCAATTCATGATAATAGGTTTGTTCACGTCGAAAAATATGTTTTCTCCCCGAGCGTCCTATACAGCTGAAAAACTCCGAAGACACTAATTTTGACATTCTAAAAACGAATCTGGAATCAGATTTGGTCCAAGACTTTTCGTTAAAATTTTCAAAAATAGCAATTCATGATAATATAGGTTCGTTCACGTCGAAAAATATGTTTTCTCCCCGAGCGTCCTATACATCTGAAAAACTCCAAAGACACTAATTTTGACATTCTAAAAACGAATCTGGAATCAGATTTGGTCCAAGACTTTTCGTTGAAATTTTCAAAAATAGCAATTCATGATAATATGGATTGTTCACGTCGAAAAATATTTTTTCTCCCCGAGCGTCCTATACATCTGAAAAACTCCAAAGACACTAATTTTGACATTCTAAAAACGAATCTGGAATCAGATTTGGTCCAAGACTTCTCGTTAAAATTTTCAAAAATAGCAATTCATGATAATATAGGTTTGTTCACGTCGAAAAATATTTTTTCTTCCCGAGCGTCCTACACATCTGAAAAACTCCAAAGACACTAATTTTGACATGTTAAAAACGAATCAGGAATCAGATTTGGTCCAAGACTTTTCGTTAAAATTAATCATCGGTGAACACCGATTTCAAATTGGTAAGGAGATTCGTGAATTATTCTACTTTGAATTCAGGCTATATTCTGGACCACGACGTTATCAATGTTGACCAGTTTAGTTTCTCTTGGAAATAACCTCCAAACCGTTCAACTTCCAGGTGCTCAGACTGCAGAGTGCGCCTGGAACACGACGACCTCCTCCATGCCGAGAGCCTGCGCCTCAACCTATACAGGGCGGTCGCCAATCCAGCGTACATCTGCTATTCCACGCACGATCCCATCCTGGCAGCTTTCCATCTCAGCCAAGAGTTGAAAGAATCCTCTTTCTTGGTGCCCGAGTTCAGAACGGCTTACGCCGAACTGGCCTCGGAAATAAGCATGTTCGCAGTGGATCTGATCGCATGCTGTAGGAGCACCAACGAGATGGAGCTGATACTCACTCAGAGCGCTGGGATGCACTCCAGCAGCATGTTTATGTTCCCCAGGTCAGTTATAAGAATATATTCGCCGGTGTTCCTCAAGGATCGGTTTTCGGGCCACTACTGTTTCTGCTTCATATAAATGACCTACCCGCACTTCGAACATTCACGGTTATTTTACTATATCTTTGCTGATGACACTACGTCGTTGTGGAGTTGAAGCGATAAAAAAATATTGTAAAACAACATTACCATTGATATAGATAAAGACAAGCCAAGTTTTTGTGTTTTAACCAACCAATACGCAATAACATTAAATGTTTGAATATCACCAGCACAGACACATACGTCAGCAGCATATTCTTCGATTGAAAATAAAATGAAGGGTTCCAATAAACATGAGTCGAAAAATGGCTCCTAAGGGGAATCCTCAAGATGATATTTCCTGAATATTTCCGAAAAGCCGAAACTTGGGTCGAAAAATGCTTCATAAGCATAAGCTACAGCCCCTTAGAGGTGAGTCCTGTCCGGTTTGGTTGTGAATCTTCATAAAAAAAAATCATGAACTTTGTTTTATTGAAATACAGAATTAACAATAAGTCAATAGCAAGATTGTTTTTCACTATGCTATAGTTTCTTCAGCATTGAATATAGCTTATTGTGACCAAGAATTTCCATTAACAATTATTAATGTGTCATCAGCATGTGAGAAAATATGTCTTTCAATATTTGTTTATGATGTCATTAATATAAATGAAAAAAAGAATTGGACCTAGAACAGTTCCTTGAGGAACACCACAAATAAAATATGTTTTTGAACTGAAAGTGTCCTGTATCTTTGTAAATTGTTCTCTTTCCGATAAGTGACTTTTTGAAAACTCAAAACTCTTACCTCTTATGCCACAATTTTGTAGTTTTCTAAAGATAGCGTCATGGGAAACTGTATAAAAAGCCTTTTTCAAATCAAGAAATATAACAATGTAACAATTTATATTTTTCTTCGAAATGATCCCTGTCTTTCCAGACTGGTCCTCGCCATGGACTACAAGCAGAAAACCTTCGTGGCCCATCCCAACACCCAGCAAATCGTCGAAGCAGCTTGGTGTGGCGACTGGCACGAATACAAAATCAAATCGCGCCCCGTCAGATTCCTCTACCCCGTCCTGAGGGCAATCACCCTCCCCTTCCTAACCCTCATGTGCCTCATCACCCCCAACCACGCCATGGTCAAGCACTGGAACATCCCCCTGAACAAGATGATCAGCCATGTATCAGCCTACATGGTCTTCCTCGTCATCATCTTCTTGGAATCCAACCTGGACAAGACCGGACAGAAAAGGAAGCCCCCGAACTCCGGACTCGAGCCTGTCATCGTGGTGTTCGTGGCAGGAAATATTTGGGCTATCATCCGCATGCTCATCCTGTCAGGGCCGTCCAGATACTTCAGATCCATGTGGAACTGGCACTCCATCATCAACAACATCCTGTTCGTACTCACGTTTCTCTTCTGGCTCGCCAGTTACTTTGATGCCATCAACAACGACCAGGTGGATCTGGAGCGCAAGTACTGGCACCAGTTGGACCCTCTGCTGATCGCAGAAGGCTGCTTCGCCATAGCGACCATCATGGCCTTCTTCAAGCTCATGTTCTTCTGTCGGCTGAACTACTACATGGGGCCCTTGCAGATATCCCTGGGGAAAATGTGCGCCGACTTGGCCAAGTACGTCATCATATTCGTGATAGTGATCGTTTCTTTCTCAGCTGGCATGTGCAGGTTCTATCAGTACTACGACAGCATGGTCAAGATTGACGAGAACCAAATCAAGACGCAGCAGGTGACTTCCTTCATAGACTTCAGCTCGACGCTGAAGACTTTTTTCTGGGCTATACTGTGCATGGCGCCCCTAGAATCGGCGGACGTGATCATAGAAAATCTGCCGGGCGATACTGCCGACAGCACCATTACAAACTCGCACGATTTCACGGAAGCCGTAGGCTACATAGCTTTCGCTCTATTCGAGGTGCTCATCGTCGTTATGATCCTCAATATGCTCATAGCCACAATGTCGGCGACATTTCAACGCGTCATAGACAACTTGGATGTGGAGTGGACGTTCGGAAAAACGGATTTCTACTTAGAGTATATGCTACAATCTGTGACTCCTTCTCCGTTCAATCTGATCCCGACACCTGGCGGTATCAGCAGTTTCATGGAGCTCATGCAGGGAGCTGTTCCGTCATCAGGTACGAATAACGAACATAAGCAAAAGTGTTGTCAAAAAAAGCAAAGTTCTTCCTACGCAGATAAGAATATGAATGAGTTGGAATACCCAGCGCTGATGACCCTGTTGGTACAGAGGTATTTCAGGGAGAAGGACACCGATAGTGCGGCTGCGACTGAGATGGATGTCTTTAGACAGGAAATTCATGAGCTCAAGATGCTTTTGAACAACATAATTGAAGGGAAATGAAAGATTTTTTTATACATTTATAGATACATACTTTGTTATTCTCAGGTTATTCTGATCTTTTGATGTAATATATTTTTTAAGTTGACTGGACTCTTATTGAAATTTGTGGCCCTGTTTCCGATGGCTGGATACGACCCTGTTGCATCATCTTTTTGAATTCGTTTGGCATGGTCGGTAGAACTGATAATTATTTGTACAAATGTTCTTTTGGAACAGGTTGTGACATCTTGCGGCCACTGGCCCACACTCCTGTGTAAACCATGTCAAAGCATTACCACCATATCACAGATTAACAAACCTTATTGTTAAGACCTAGTACTTTCGTGCTAGATCTAGTACCATTTTCATTTTGACTCGAAATATTGACATTACCGAGATAAACGTAAGAAAAGAGCATTGTGTAATATCAGTGATTATTGTCTTTCATTACCTCTGCATACATCAATTTTGAGTTTTGTGGTGTCTATATTTATAGCTCATGTCCGTACTATGCAGTTCAAAAGTTCATTTTACGTGTCAATATTATATATTGTCATTTGTTGATTGTTTTCACACTTTTCACCATGCTCAAAGTTATGATTATGAATACAATTCACAAATGAATGACAATGACGATTTACTGTTTCGTTTCCATCATGTTTTTTCCTTCTAGTACTTTTTTCGGTGATTTCTTAGTACATTTCGTGTTGCTGCGCTGGCAACGCTGATGTTATGAGAAGACGTCAGATGTGGTGAAGTGAAATGTCAAAATATTGTATTTTTATTTTTGTATTATGCCAAAAATTCTAAAAATCAATGAAGAATTCTAATAAATGATTTGGTGCATCGAAATATTTTCGTGTAATGTTGCCAAGAGCATTCAAAACGGATGCAGAGATTCGACAACAACAAATAAACACATTGAAAATCTTCAATGACAAGTAAGTTTCCTCTAACCACCAGAAAACAGAAATATATCAACAAAAACCCTTTTCAGAGTGACAGAAATTCTTGAAGGCGAAGAATACGATGTCTTATTCAGCTCAGGAGGCCACAATTTCTGTTTGAAGGTTTCCTTGGGTAAAGAATTTCCCAAAGAGAAACCAATACTGAAAATAGTCCCTGTGATAATTCATCATTGGATAAATGAAGATGGTGAAGTAAAATCAGCCCCAGGATTGCTCAATGTAATAATCAGAGCTAAATAAATATAACACCTAAAAAGATGTGCTTTAGGTTAATTTGTTTTAGTTTACTTTGCATTCTGACTTGGGCAGAGTAGTTCAAGCAATCATAAGGGAGTTCCAACGTAGTCCACCACCTTTGGCATCAAATAATTCTACCAATATAGTTTCACCAACAATACCTATAAGTTTGTTCAGAAATTCATGTTTTTCTATCAGTGTCATAACTTCTTTGGTTTTAGATGGTGAAATAAGATCAAGCCCTATAAATTACCAGTCATTTCCAGCTGTACAAAGTCTATCACCTCCCACACCTATGACCTTATCAAATAATTCTCAACTGCCTCATCCCAGCCTAGCTTTTCCTGAATTATTGAATTTATCATTGGAGGAACTGAATTTTTTGAATGAGAATTCAGACAGACAAGATGAATTTATTGATGACTTACCCATAATGAAAAAACAGAATAAGGCTTTGGATGACCTTATTCTGCAAGTTGAAGATTTAGCAGGTGAGGTAGACACAATGCACAATTTCTGAAAAAAAAATCTGTTATAAGATACATGACACAGACATAGAACAATTTTGAAAATCTGAAATTAGGTTAAAAGCCAAGATGCAGTTTGTTCTGTTCTTCAAGAAAATGTACTTAAAACTCACACTGAAACCTCATTTAAAATTCAGAAGACTTGAATATTATCTGTGTCATATTCATATTGGCTTGGCAATAATTAATTGAAACAAATTTTCAGAGTTGAACTTGTCCAAAGAAGAAAAGTTACAGGAACTAAGAAAAGATGTAAATTCCAGGATAGAAGAAGTAAATAAACTTGCATTTGATAATGAGAGATTGCATAGTGTTTATAAAAGTTTGTCTGATAAATATACACCTAGACATATAAAGGTAAAAATATCATTTGTATCCATTATGCAGGGTCCTTCTATTTTTAATGATTTGAAAAATCAGGTTTCTCAATAGATTTCTTAGTTTACCCACCTTTTTTTTCTGTGTTAATTAACTAGACTTCTGATTTTTACTGCAAACGCTATACAGGGTGTTGAAATAACATTCTCCTGATTTTTAATATTTTTGTATTATTGGATTTGATCTAGTTGAAATTCCATTTAATAAAAAGGTCCTAGCAGATTTGGAATAATTATCAATCTGGTAGTAAGTTTGTCTGATAAATATACACCTAGACATATAAAGGTAAAAATATCATTTGTATCCATTATGCAGGTCCTTCTATTTTCAATGATTTGAAAAACAGGTTCCTTAATAGATTTCTCAGTTTACCCACCTTTTTTTTTCTGTGTTAATTAACTAGACTTCTGATTTTTACTGCAAACGCTATACAGGGTGTTGAAATAACATTCTCCTGATTTTTAATATTTTTGTATTATTGGATTTGATCTAGTTGAAATTCCATTGATTAAAAAAGTCCTAGCAGATTTGGAATAATTATCAATCTGGTAGTAAGTTTGTCTGATAAATATACACCTAGACATATAAAGGTAAAAATATCATTTGTATCCATTATGCAGGGTCCTTCTATTTTAAATGATTTGAAAAAACAGGTTTCCTAATAGATTTCTTAGTTTACCCACCTTTTTTTTTCTGTGCTAATTAACTAGACTTCTGATTTTTACTGAAAACGCTATACAGGGTGTTGAAATAACATTCTGCTGATTTTTAATATTTTTGTATTATTGGATTTGATCTAGTTGAAATTCCATTGAATAAAAAAGTCCTAGCAGATTTGGAATAATTATCAATCTGGTAGTGAGTTTGTCTGATAAATATACACCTAGACATATAAAGGTAAAAATATCATTTGTATCCATTATGCAGGGTCCTTCTATTTTAAAATGATTTGAAAAAACAGGTTTCTTATTAGATTTCTTAGTTTACCCACCTTTTTTTTTTCCTCTTCTGATTTTTACTGAAAACGCTATACAGGGTGTTGAAATAACATTCTCCTGATTTTTAATATCTTTGTATTATTGGATTTGATCTAGTTGAAATTCCATTGAATCAAAAAGTCCTAGCAAATTGGCAATGATTATCAATCTGGTATTTATATTTTTAGGAACAACTTGGTTTAGCTGCTGAAAAGGCAGACAGAGAAACTGAAAAAGTAGCTGAATCATTCCTGAATGGTGAAACTGATGTTGAAAAATTTTTAGCTGATTTTATCAAAATAAAAACATTGTCACAAACACGTAAAACCAAGGAAGAAAAACTTAGCCAGCAGTTGGATAGGTTGGAAAGAGCAGGGTTTTGAAGAAAAAAAAACAGTTTTGTTCAAATTGTGAAAAAGTTGTGATATCATTGAATAAGTCAATAAAAATAAGTAGTTAATTGTTCTACAGTTATTTTATGTCCTGCCAATCATTTCAAATTTAATTTTGTGCAAAAGGAAAGCAGGAATGACAGGGTAAAAAAATCCTGATATTTTTAGTCTATACTGAAAAAGTTAAATTCAGATTTTCAAAGAGTATAATTGCCTGTAATTTCAAGACCACAATCATGGTACTAGCATTTAGGAAAGTGAAAATAATCAACCAATAATGATGTATTTTCCACACTTTATTAAAATACAGAAAACTTATATACAAATACTTGATATCAGACAGTTTGATTGAACTTTGTCCCCATAAGGATATCAGTTAAGGGAACATTTAAATCCAATGTAAAGTTTATTATAAAATTTATCTCAACATGAGACAGTCACAGTTTCAGCCTATACAGTGCATACAAAAACTAAGTGGTTTTCTGTACCATATCATACCTATGGATATTGAAATCAATATAAATGTCTTATTTATATAAAAATAAACACTTCATTCATAGAAGATTAGTTAATGAATTGAATAATATTCCACTTTATTCCCCATGGGCTATTTTGAAACCTACTATAAATGTTGAAAAGAGCCAATTCAAATACACTATTGATAATACTGTGGTTAATCATAGATTATTATTGTGATTAATAATATTACATCATATTGATATTGATAAAATTGTAAAATATTTAATAAAACAGTGAATATATTGACATAGGAACTTGAATAAGTAGGTCTGTTTGAAGAAACATCCAATGAATTCAAATAATATTTCAATCCACCTGAATATGATGCCAAGGTCATTAATAGTTGAAATATAACAGGCTAAAATAAAATCCCAATTCTCTAAAACAGCCTTCCAATTAAATAGTGTTGAGGAAAATAAATATTTTGATTCTTCTTATTATCATGGTATAAATATTCAAGCAAAGAAACAGTCAACCTGATTCAAAACTAGAATTAATAATATTGTTAAGAAAAACACTAAAATAAAATTCATTAATGGTAAAAATGGAGATTGATATGGATTCTCATTCTTTTCCTTAGAATTTTCTAAGCTAAAACAATGTTATTACCTATTTTTATAAATTACAAAATTAAATAAGTCCTTGAAACACATCATAAATTTTAAAAATCATCATCAATAGAGAACTTACTTTCCAAATGATTAGCTACACCATCTTTCTGGTATTCTCCAACTTTCTTTTCAAAGAAATTTGTTTTGCCATCAGTGGAAATTATACTCATGAAGTCAAAGGGATTCTGTGAGTTGTAAATTTTCTTGCAGCCCAACTCTAACAACAATCTATCAGCCACAAATTCAATATACTGGCACATCAAATCACAATTCATGCCAATCAAACTAACAGGCAAGGCATCTGACAGGAATTCTTGCTCTATTTTCACTGCATCCCTGATAATGCTCACAACACGTTCTTCTGATGGTTTCTGCACCAAATGGGAGAACAAGAGACAAGCAAAATCACAGTGTAGCCCTTCATCTCTTGAAATCAACTCATTGGAGAAGGTCAAACCAGGCATCAGCCCACGTTTCTTGAGCCAAAACAGAGCGGCAAAGCTACCAGAGAAAAATATACCTTCCACAGCTGCAAAAGCCACAATCCTCTCTCCAAAAGTAGAGTTTTTGGAGCTTATCCAGTTCAATGCCCAGTCAGCCTTCTTCCTAACACATGGCAGGGTCTCTATGGCATTGAAGAGGAAGTCTTTCTCCTCAGGATTGCTGATGTAAGTTTCAATGAGGGTGCTGTACATTTCTGAGTGGATGTTCTCAATTGCTATCTGGAAACCATAAAAGCAACGTGCTTCAGTGACTTGGACTTCTTGACTGAATCTCTCCACCAAATTCTCATTCACAATACCATCAGAAGCAGCAAAGAAAGCAAGCACATGGGAAATAAAGTGTCTCTCATTGTCAGTGAGGTTTTTCCAGTGGTCCATGTCTCTGGAGAGGTCTACCTCTTCTGTGGTCCAAAAGGAGGCTTCAGCTTCCTTGTACTTGGCCCAAATGTCAGGGTACTGAATGGGGAATACAACAAACCTTTTGGGGTTCTCTCGAAGCAATGGTTCTAGCTCCGGATCGAAGCTATTGACGTCTTTGCCGTCTTGGATCTTGGCTCCTTTCTGAATTTTAGAGGGAGAATGCTCTTTTATGATATTGGCTTTGCTGGGAGACAGAACCATGTTCTCTGTTTTGGCGGAAAGGATCATCACGTTTTCTTTATCGTAAGCTGGCATTTTGGTAGCTATAAATAACAAACGTGGTGAACTACATTATGATGAAATTTGTAGGGAAATGGACTTACCAATGAAATTGTTATAGAGGCAGGACACTAACAAAAGTTCATCAATTAATAATAGGCGCCAAAAGGAGCGTGTCCTATTTATACGGGGCTTCGATTGGCGCGAAAACGTATCTACGCGTTATCCGCCTGTCCCCTGATATGTCAACGGCTGGTTAATAACCTCAAATAAAACTTATCAAATCTCTCAACTCAACTGTTCAATGGAAATATCTTGTTTGTACGAAAAAATAGTTCTATATAAATAGACGAAAATGGGCATTTTTTGTTTGGTCAATGAATCTCTATATTCTCCATAAAAATTAACATGTGAAATATTGTGAAATGCAACCGAAAATATCAAAATTTGAAAATAACTGAAATATAACTTTGACGAGTTTGACGTGTTTTGACCACAGAATTTGACACTGCTGTCAACAATGCCAATATCACAAGTACACGGAACACTGGGAAGCTGAGCTATCGCGTGCAGATGACGTCATATAATAAACAATACAAATATTTAGGAAGTGTTCAAACAGTAGGTACCAATTCTCAAACACAAACTCTAAAGGGCGCCGTACATAATGCTATTTCTCGGCAAGTTTGAGGCAATGCAATTTTCTCGCAATTTTCTCAATTTATTGCGAGTCGCCGTACATTGAGATATTTCTGTCATATTTTCTGGTTCATATTCACTATTTTCAGGTGTTTCGGGTCACGTTATGGAGAAAATTTGTATTTTATCAAGATGCTACGATGAATATCACTATTACTAAAAATTTTACTAAACATGCCTTGAAATTGCAGGAAAAATAGGACTGGTTCTATTACGAAACTTGCATGAAACTTGCCGTGAAATATCATAGACGCATGCGCATTGTTTGATTCAAAATTGCATTGCATCGAACTTGCTGGTGAATAGCATAATGTACGGCGCCCTTAAAGACGGCAGAACAGAAACTTAGCGGGAGATTGGACCATGGTCAAATTGTTTCAATTCGTTCAGATTGAGATGTTTATAAGTTCAGACACTCTCAGTTCAGGCTGTGATGTTTATGAGTCTCTAGGCATCTCAGTTCAGACTGTAGTCAGATTGTGGATAGGACCTTCGTCCACGTGGTCTCATTTGAAATGAGCCCGAGCATGGGCTAAATCGTTCAGTATCTATTATTTTCGTCCTTTTCCGTCGGTCAGAATGACATGCAAATGCATTTGAATACCTTATTGATTTGAATGAATGTTTTCGCGGGTGAGATTCAAAGTAAGAACTGTCCATGAAATCCTGGTTTGCAAAAACTAAACAATTTCAAAAATCCATATGATTCGGACCTCAACGGTGACACTGTATATTAAATTTCTTTTCACCCCCACCCCGTATACCTACTATCGATATATGTTAGTATATAAATGTACATCAATGAAAATTGGTATACTTACAAACATTGTGGTACAGCTCACTAGTTTTTTTCTCCATATTTCTTTTACAACATGAAATGGTATATAAAATTAGCGCAAAACGAAAACATATGTACATATGTTTTCGTTTGTCGTGTATAACATATTTTATATATATAAGTATTTATCCCGCTCTGTATTCATCAACATCTCCAAATTAGTCAACCATAATCTATGAAATTTTTTGTCAAATCATTTCATTTTATTCATACACATATGTTTTCTTTCTGCGCTAATTTTATACAGGGTGGAGACTTCAACTGGAATAAATTCGCTACCTACATTTGACGAGCAATATGAAGAATATAACCCTTAGCTGGAAGCAACCACAACATGTTTTTTTTTTCAAATGCAACCCAATGACTTCTGACCCCTCATTGGAAAGCTGGTTGAAAGAGGAATCCAGCGTACTGATCATATTTCAGTTTGCAGTACGTTTTTTTTCATAAAAATTTCCACTTTTAGTGATATAGTGATATAAGGCATTTCCACCAGTTTGCAATAACACTTCGTTTCGAACTGTGAATACGGCAAAAAACGAATGTCTTTTTGCGGCTCCATAAAAACACTGGAATACAATAGTAGATAGCAGTTGTGGCAAAAAGTTGCCATTAACTGTTCAACACACATTTTGAGCGATTGATACGTTGAAAAAGAATTAAATTTTATAATTACATTTCAATGTTATGCAACCTTTGAAAGTATGGGAAGCTAAAACTTTACTAGTACAGTGAATTCCTCTTTCCACCAGTTTTCCAATGAAGGGTCACAAGCCATATGGTTACAGTTGAAAAAATCATGATCTCAGCTACCCCTGGAGGGATATATTCTCGATATTGTTTGCAAAAAATAGATAAATACATTAAATCGTTGACGTACGCCGGGAATTTTTAGAAAAAATATTCCCCTCGCCGCTAACGAATTTATTCCACACTGTATAGTATTTCATGTTTGTAAGAATACCAATACAAAACGGAGAAATCTAATTGATATTGGTCACAACGACTGCTTCCCAATAATATTCCACCGAATATAACCTGTAGAACACTCATGAAAGCTCCCTCTTATTGTATAATTATGCAGTTCTTAATTTATTTTTATTATGCACCAGATATATTTTTTATTTTTGACACTATATAAAAATAAAAAAAAATAGCTGTAATATAGTACCTACCTATCCCTACAAATACCTAAATCTACATAAATCTAAATAGTCTTATGTCATATAATTGATCACAATAATTAAACTGGGTGCGAAAATAAATGTGGTTGAAACTTTCAAAACTATCCTTCAAATTTACCACCTCAAAGGAGAATTTTCACTGTGGGGAAACTTATGTGGGCTGAAATAAAAAGATGTTCGTCAAACTATTTCACCACATATCCGTTATTTTACCTCGAATTGACAATCGTTAGATTTTGCGGATTCACCAATGGCTGTAATTTTTCGATGAATCTCTTATAATTTCTATCCAGTTCTCTTTGGTAATCTCTTTGGTCGGGTCCTATCAAATTTTTATTTTTCCTCAATGCATCAAAACACCTGCGAATTTTAAATTAAATAGAGATCTGTCGCAAAAATATCGTGAAATCATCAAAAATATACAAACTTTTTCGAGAAATCCTTGAAACATAACCTCAACTTATTCTGGTGCTTGGTTAGCGCTTTCCCGTCAGCCGGCAGGAAAGTAATTGCCATTTCCAAAGGGCCTTGATTCACAGTGGTGCCAATACAACCTTGGAGCACCATCTGCAAGATTTTAGGGTCTGGCGGTTCTTGTTGCGTGGCGCTTGCTAACTCAATGGTCTTTTTCTGAATATCTTCAATTGCGACCTAAAATGCATAAAGAACGTTGCTAAAACGCAGAAAAGCCACGAAAGCGTTGCAGCAATGTCGTGAGAAGACTTTTTTTCTGCAACCGACACACAAAAGTCGTCCATTCAACACATTTAGTTCCTAGGAGGAGCTTAAGTTCAACTTAATACCAACTATGTTTTAGATCGAAGAAGCGACGTGATATTAATCGACGAGAAAATTGCACAGAGGAGGAAATCAGACCAGAAATCAGCAACAAGTGTAATGTAATCATGTAACTTTCATGATACTCTCCCCTCGTAAGGGTACCTGTCATGTCTCCATTGAGACAAAGGTGACTATCGAAAAAATTTCTATGATTAATATATCGCCTTCTACAACAAATACAAAATTTTGAAGACATATTCGAAATGAATTGAATATAATTCATTATAGGCATGAAAAACATCACTTGTTGCTGATTTCTGGTCTGATTTCCTCCTCTGTGCAATTTTCTCGTCGATTAATATCACGTCGCTTCCTCGATCTTAAACATAGTTGGTATTATATTTCGAATTTCAAATATATTGAGAATTTTCAAAATGATGAAAGCTACATTGAATAACAAACTGAAATATTTAAAATTAGCTCTTGAAATGACGTTTCTATTACTGACACGAAAGTAGGTATGTGGCTAGGCAACACATTTAGTTCCTAGGAGCTAAAGTTGAACTTTAGTTCCTAGGAGCTCAAGTTGAACTTTAGCTCCTAGGAACTAAAAAGGATGTACTAGATATCATCAAGAATAAACAACATTGTTACGGTTGGTTATTTGGGTTGGGAAGCATACCTGATTTGTTTCCGATTTCGGCAGATTGGGCATCTCATACCCATGCTTGAGATATAAATACACCTCATTACAGTTAAGTATAGGAATTATAAACATCTCAGTTGAGTTTTTTTGTTTTGATCAGGGAATCCATCAAGATTCATATACTTGCTTGATCTGTATTTCATTCGTTATTCTCGGGATGGATAACTTGCTTTTGAATAATCACGGTAAACAATAGTTTTTTGTCTCAAACAACGATATTGTTTACCTCCATTTGATTATCAAGCCAAACACAGTGTAGTATAAGGGGGAATAAATAATCGCTATTATTATTGTTGATATGCCCACTAACCTAACATTTTCCATCCATAATATTTGCCATCAGAGCACCTGGTCTATACACAAATATGTCACTCTGTGGTTGTATTTATATTGAAAATACAATTCGAACATCCTTCAAAATTGAATAAACCTGCTGTTAATGCATTGGTGGTTACTTCACATATTTATTTGAGTTAATTGTTTCGGTTGCAGAAAAAATAGCATATTTCATTCGGATCAAAAGTGACTTTGTTTGACTCGCAAATTACTTTTGATCCTAATGAAACAATCTACTATTACGATACTGGCGCGATTACCTCTATGGGTGTTAAAGTTGTCTGCGAGCGAGAAACTACTTGTATTCTCGTTTTCACGTATGGAAAATGTACAGCAGTGGTCAGAATGGTCTTTCTCTTATACTGATCACGTAATTCACCATGAGCCTTCCCAGTCATTGTGAAAGGTGTTGCATACATAAAACGCTCTGGAATACAATCATATTATCCCAAAAAATATCAGAAGTAACGGTAGCTTACTCATATTGAAGTTCTTATCAAAGTGGGTCTGTCTATATCTGAGTTCATATTGCTCGAAGTACGGCTCTACATAGGTTATTTGTATGTACGCTTTTTCTGGGTCCAAGGACCCCAAATCGACTATATTGGAGTCCTTTATGATGATCACGTTATCGGCACCGAACCGCTCCGAATAGAAATTCTCCAAACGGCTGAAAATCTCCGGTAATTTGGTCAGAGTAGGCTCTTTATAAATGAATTCCTCTCTGTCCAAGTCTCCGAATTTCGACCCGTAAAATCCCACCCTGAAATAAGTTCCGAACATCCGTTTCCCCGAAAGCTGATCTATCCTCGTATAGGCATCATGTAATTTCCTAAAAAAACACATAAACACACATCTTCCAACAAAAAACACAATAATTACCCGTGAATATTGGCTAGTTTCTTGAAATCCCTATTATTCTCAGCAATGGGGATCAACACTCTGTAGATATCGTTCATGGGTTCGTACATAGCTGCTGCGTTGAAGCTGCTAGCTGCGTGCTCCAGCAACCCTAAAAGTCCAGCCTCGGTGAAATGGGAGCCCAAACATCCCCCTTCTCTTTCCGGGCTCAAAACATCATCTGATACGGCGCTTTCTTCCAGAACGTTTGGGCTCACTCGTTCTAGAGCTGCTGCACCAGACGGCAGATGAGGCAAAGACTCCAGCATAACCTTATAATCATTACAATAGCTATACACAAAATATTTTTCACATTGATGGGAAATACATTTCAAGGGAAGAATTAATTGCGCTTCTCTCTCATTTCGGCGACCCTTAGGCTGTATTAATTCTGCAAAACTCACCAAATATTCAGCCACCAAAGCGGCAGAATGTACCAGACACATTCCGGCTTCGGTGTGATTCCCTCGCTCCATGTGCTTCTGCGCCATGTTGGCCAACCAAGTTAACCTCAGATCCGGCGAATTCTGATACCCCTTCGCTATCCTGTACATCAGATCCAGCAGCATCTCCGGATCTTCCTGGAACTCTTTCATCTTCACAGTATCGGACAGGATCATGTGCAAATTGAACACCAAATCTCTGACTTGCTCGGGAAAAGTTGTCTCTTGAAGTTCCATGTCTCTTTCGCCGTACTCCAAGATGGTTTTCAGTGATCGACGAAGAGAGTCATCGCTGAAGGAAGCAGAAGTACCTACCAAGCTGCTCAGAGACATTGTAACTTGCATCTTCACTCTGGCAAAGTTCTGCAATATATGTGTAGAATTAGATTACATCCATTAGAAAAAACTAGTTGAATAACTCACATTGCCAACTTGAAAAGTATGTCTCATCAACAAATATAATGATGCAGCAGCTTGAGACCGCACCGAAGCTATTTGAGACCCGCAGTGTTTCAACAATAATAGACAAAGATCTGCACAATGGGTACTCTCCTCGTCAAACAAAGCGCCATGAAACTAAAAAAGACAAATGCATAACCAAACAACACCCCAGAACCGGACTTTCCTAACCTTAAACACTAGGCTGCGTTGAGAAGCAAACATATGCGGTAAGACAGTCGTACTTTGGTTCTTTCCTAAAGCATGCAGCAACACTGACAGCGCCAAGCCCACCAAATGCTGCTGGGAATCCCACTGAGAAATCGTAGCAACACATCGCTCCAAAGTATCCAGGATAATGAAAGAAGCCTCCGTCGCGAAATGACCTTCGAGATGCACATCGTTCATCAAATCGTCCTTAGGACGATCCACCTGTTCAGACACCGGTCTGTAATTCATCTGATCCTTCCTCCACCGCACTTTTTCAGTCGCCGCTTGCGTAGCCACACCTACAAGCAACAGGTGACAATCACGTTGGGCGCCATTTCGCGAACTCACCTTTTCTGCGCTGCATCATCTCCCTTGCCGAACCCTGGCCGAGAATGACGTCTTCTAAGCGCGATCGCATGTCTTGCGTACCCTGCGCGTGTGCGTAGCCAGAAGGAGGCGGGGCACGCCTTCTAGGTTTGTACTCGAAACAACTGGTGCACGCGTCCAACAGGTGGAGCAACGTTGCCAGTCGTGAAGAGGACAGCTCGCCCAGCCATTGAGACAGCGAGTCCCTTTCGACGTTTTTCAACACCCACAACACGCAGGTCAGTATGTTACGTGTCACGTCTGCCGTGACGCCAAGCTTACGCGACTGCAACTGAAATTCATCTATTAGTTAGGTTAAGAGGTTTTGTGGTCAAGTTTACCGTTGGAAAACTATCGCAAGTGCTGGGAGGCAACTTTCCTGCGATAGCCATTGCTACGGTTTGGTTGATGTTGTTGGCGGCCATTTCCTCGTTGCTGTACTGCGATTTGTCAGCTTGAAAATGGTGGAGCAACGGAAGCACGTCCATTGCTATGGATAGCAGCGGAAAATATAGCGCTGCAACTCTTTGCTTAGCTTCAGGGGAGCTGTAGCGGGGATCGCTGTCATGCCAAGAAAGCAGGTGACGGACAGTGTCTACAGCTTTACTATGCAGCGAGGATTGACTGAAAAAAATTGTATACCATTATTTATACTAACAAGATGATCCACCTTCATGTAAAATGTCGAAGTCAAATTTGAACTTGGCTACTTCGTAGGCGGCGTTAGCGCTAGCTAGACTATCTAGGAATATCCTTTTTTCTGGAGCAAGAGAATCACTAACTTTGATATTCTGGAGGCTTTTAAATTGAAATATTATAATCCGATCCTAATGCGACATTCCTTCTTGCTTAAGAACATCTAAAAATAAACCTCGATTCTGCATTACCGACCTCTACCGTTTGCTACTCAATAAAAAGTAGTTCACCTTGTCGCCCATAAACACCGCTACCTACTGAATTGAATTGCTGGCTCCAATGCTCTGATAAGGATGATACCTCTCGTAAGTGTGACAAGTGAAGGCTAGTACTGAGAGCCACATACTTCCAATTTCTGAGATAATGAAAAATATTATTTTCGCGCGACCCGAAAGATGAAACAAACGAACGCACAACTTCCATACGAAAATTTCACTCCAAAGATTTCAGTCACTGTTATGTATACTCACTGCATGTCTAAAAGCACCGTTGCCAAATCTGTCTGCACGATTCCTGACAAATAGTGATGTTGCCTGTACTCTGTCGAGAGCTCGGCGAACGTACTGGCCCTCTCTTGACTGGGCGGGGCCCCAGACAAGAACGAATTCTGACTGGTGGAGCTCGTCACGCTGGGACTAGGTGACACGTTGGTCCCCGTCGACATGAAAGGGGAGGCGAACGGCAAGTTTAAGGCCACGTAGTGTTCGTGGCTGCAGATTATCCGCGCGAATTCCAGTTTCAGTTCGACCAGCACCGAATCCTGTATGGATGCGATCTTGGCCTGCCGAAAATGATACAAAGGTAGGTTAGGTTGAAAGAAGTTATGTCGTCAAGTAAGATTATCTGAATTTGCAATGTAGCGTAAAATCATTTACCTAATTGACAACAATGAAACAAAATAAAGTGACATCTCACCTGTAGCTGCTTGTTGTAGGACCTCAACAGCTGAAACACCCACCCACGATCGGCGATAGACAACAAATCGAAGAAAAAGAACGCCAAAGCCGCATTGAGCTTGTGAGCCTTGCGAGTCTCGCCGGTAGAGTGTGCTATAATCTCCGCCGTGACAGTATGCACTAGAGTCGAAACGTCGTCCAGAAATTGCTCGGAGAACCTGATCTTCCTCGGCGCATCCAAGAACCTGGTATGCGCCAAATGTTCCACCATGCTCTTGACTATCAGCTCGAACAAGAACCAAGCGTTCTGCATGGCCAAATCCTTGGGTCTGCCGCTGGAAACCACCCATTGCAAGGCCAATTCCTGGTGCACAATCCGGTGACAAGAAGAGCTATTGGGGCTGATAGGTTCGTTGGTCTGGACGCGCATGCTCGCTGCCCTATCGATGCCTCTGGACTGCACTTGGGCCACCTCCAGGTCCGGATTGGAGGTGCTTCTGGTCAGGGTGGAGCTTTCAGAGTGCTCGGAGGGGTGCTGATTGTACAGGGGGTGGGGCATGTTGCACTGGTACTGGATGTAGGTGGCCAAGAGTTGGTTGCGGCCGTGTTGGTCCACTGAGAGCTCTTGGACGTTCTGTAAATGCGAATGAGAGTTGACTCTCACACGTTGGGCGCCAATTCACAAAATTTTCATCGGGAATCGTAAATTTTGAGACGTTGTGGAAGACAACGATATTATATGCAATTTGAGGACTTGATACAGGTCTGGGTTGAAGGTGCTTCTGGTTAGGAGTTGTCAGAGTGCTCTGGTTGTACAGGGGGTGGGGCATGTTGCACTGGTATTGGATGGAAGTGGCTAAGAGTTGGTTGCGGTCGTGTTGGTCCACTGACAGCTCTTGGACGTTCTGTGAATGCAAATGAGAGGTGGCTCTCTCACGTTGGGCGCCATTTCACAATTTTTTTCTTCAGAAAGTTCAAAATTTGAGACGTTTTGGAAGACAATCGGGTTTGAAAGAGCTTAGAGTTAGGGTGGTGTTCCCTTAATATCTCACGTTGGGCGCAATTTCACAAATTTACCATTCTTATTTCAATTTCAGCCAGAATCATGAATGTAACTGATGATTATCGGCAATATATTTCGGACTTACCGATATTTTGTCTAATAGCGAACAAATAGCTTCGAAACAGACATGGCCGACATTCAACATATGGCCGGACAGTCTGGGAGGTTGAACGAGTAGCTCCATGATACAGTCGAAAATGAGGGGTAGAAATTTGATGATGGTTTCAGGATTGGCGCCTGATAGACCCAACATTGCTGCCCTGAAAAAATTATGAAATTAATGCATGAGCAAATACTGTGAAAAATCACAAAATTACCTCAATTCGTTCTCCGACCCCACCTCGCCCAACCTTTGCGGAATAACGCCCGTATGCACAAAATCATAAGCGGCGAAAAATCGTTCCACGGGCGGATCATGCGCATGGACGCTAGAGGCGGCGTCCAAGGCCACCGAGAACAGACCCTTGTGGTTGTCCAGCCAGCGTGTGCCGGGCAGACACACGTCGGGCGGGATGTAGCTGTAGTTGCGAGGGGGCGGCTCCAGCATGACGGGCAGGCAGAAGTCGCCCGACACCAGGCGGCCGTCTCTCAGCAGAGGGAGCCACTGGAATAGGCGTCAAAACAGTCAAGTACATTTAGGAACTCTAGGCTGAATGAGATGAATCTAGCCATGTAGCTGCACTAGCAGACCTCATTTGTTTCATGAGTTTTTACCGCTCTGAATTTTAAGGTCATGAAAAATATAGTTCTGGAATCATCACTTGAGATATGGCTGTTTGGAAAGACTAGGCCCACAGATGGCTAGATTTCTCTCATTTAGCTGACATTGGCAAAATATTTCACGACACATTATTTTGGCACCATTGTCTAAAAATGAGGAATTACAAAGATACAATGTGAGTATGCCGCTGTATTATACGTGAATGTTACAAAAGGCTTCCTTCTCATCCTGCTGATAAGTTGAAAACCAGAACGAAGATACGGGAGTTGATCAAAAAGTGAGAATTTCCAACTTTGCCTTGTATCTTAAAAACATGAAAGACTGTGAAAATTCTGTTTGCAACATTATTCGTCTCACAAAAGAGTAAGAGAGTAATGTGATATCCGCAACATTCTACCTCCTTGATTTCTTGATTTGCTTCAAAATCGTTTGTGGTTATGTTTGATTGTCACTGCTTGTCTAGTGTCCCTACTCTATCTGATATACAAAAAAACGTCAAAACAGCAGTGTTAAGTACATTCAGGAACTCTAGTTATGTCTGATTGCCAGTGCTCGTCAGTGTCCGTTAAAACAAATCTGTCAAATACATTGAGGAAATCAAGCTTTTAGTAATCGTTTTTTTTACTGATAAATACTCACAGTATACCCAACCGGACTATCCACCGCGTTCTGCTCCAACTTTTTCTGACAGGAAATGTGATAGAACGTGAAAAGCAAATGATGATTGTCAGCCAAAGCTGCGGGCAGCTTCACCTTCACCTCGTCATAAAACACCGGCGTCTTGCAATGGTAAGTCACGGCTGAAAACGCCTCGTTGGTGGTCTCCGGACAGCTCGACTTGCCGAAGATGCTGTACAAAGCATGCTTCTCCTCCTCACCAGCCATCAGCTGGATACGAACCGCCAGGTTCCTTGCAGACCCAGTTCGATTGGAGAAATTCAACTCCTTGGGACTGACGAAAAGTAGGTTCCGGTAGGTGTAATGCGGCACTTGGATGTCCTTGATCGGGAATTCTAGGAGCTCTTTGGTCGGCCTGAACATGATCATGAGCGAAAAATGATGTCTTCCCCCTTCCTCCAATTTACATATTTCATATTTACCTGCTCTTCTCGTCAGGATAGGGCCGCAGCTTGGCCATCTCGGTGGTCAAACAATGCTTCAGTTCCACCGGACAAGGAGAGATCTCCAGCTTCAGCGTGGCCGGAATGCACTTCATCTTCTTCAGCACCAGCGTCGGCCTTTTCAGCTCCTGCAGGCTCTTGTAGAGGTCCTCGTCCTTCAGTTTGTCGGCCTCCTGCTTGAAGAAGGAGGCCATGGTTAGTGTGATGGGCCTGAAGGAGTCCAGACTGGTGGCTAGATGGTCGGGGGACCACGATCTTCGCTTGTTCTGGCGCTCCAGGGAGCCCCGTCTGGTCAGGGAGCCCATGTCGGCAGCTTTTCTCCTTAACTGTTCCAAGCCGCTGGCAGAAGACTTCCGATCTAGAATATAATCGTCCTCGAAAGTACTGTGTATGAACGTTGAGGATTTTTCCTGTTTGGTGATTATATTACGTTAGAGTGTGTGTGTTGTTTTTGCATATTGCTGTGGGAAATCGAAAGTTTCAAACAATCTTCTAACAGAGCCCTGGGTAGGTGGTCGGGCGATCACGATCTTTGCTTGTTTTGTGCTCCAGGGAGTCGCGATTGGTTAGGGAGCCGATGTCCTCCGCTTTACGCATATATCTACTACTCTATATATGAAACATAGCTGTCCTCAAAGCTGGACCAACTTCTGTCTCTATAGGTAACGAAATCGACCAATAGGCGTTGATGCCGACGTAGGGAAAAAATAATACGACAATATGACTACTAATTTCGAATTTGCCATCCTTCACTTCCCGTCCTTATAGATTCAAAAAGTACCTCTCATTTTGGTCCCATTTTTGTTGAGATAACGTATAGGCGATGCGCCATATATAGAAATAGTAGATAGATAGATGGCTTTACGTCTCAGTTGCTCCAGCCCGCTGGCAGTAGTACTGTGTATGAACAGAGTATTTTTTTCTGTTCCGGGATTATAAAATTTTTTTTGTTCGGTGATTATAACGCGTTTGTGTGTGTATGTTGTTTTTGCGTTTTGCTGTGGGAAATCGAATTTTTTAAACAATGAGAAGGTGAATATAGACAATTTCGAAGAGACTCTTGGCTAGGTGACCGGGCGACCACGACCTCTGTTTGTTTTGCGCTTCTGGGAGCCCTTTCTGGCCAGGAAGACGATGTCGGCGACTTTACGTCTCAGTTGTTTCCGACCAAGGATGTAATCGTCCTTTAGGATCCTTATTTGTATGAATGTAAAGTAGTTTTTTCTGATTTGCTGATTTCAACCGGCCAGGTTACAAAACTCTTAGTGCTTTTTCACTTTTTGTAGGACATAATGCATTGTTGACTGACAATCACATCCAGAGACTGGAATTTGAATCAACTTAACAGTTATGTTGATGGTTCTGCCTTGATGACTAATCTCTACTAGCTCTCCAGTCCAGAACTTGAAGTTTTATAGTCAAAAATTGGTGAGAAAAATATTCATTTAACGGAAAATGGATTTTTTTTTTCAATGAAAGGGCAGATGTTGACTATTTTGTACAGATTGTCTCTGGGATTTTCTCATTATTGTAAAACTGTGCTATTTAAAATAACACTGCAGTGTTTTTTATACAATGGTCAATTTGATAAGTTTACACTTATTATTGAAATATCACTTGAGTACAAAGGAAAAAACTGTAATGCAGATTATTCTCTGTTTCCCCAATATTTTGACTATGAAAGTAAAATAGCTACATGCATAATTTCTGTACTGATTTTTTCCTTACTTTTTTCATTATTGTAGTGAAAACTTTTCAAAATTATACTTTATAAATCACTCAGCACATACCAAGACTGTTTGTGTTGGATCCACTCCCCATGGAATCTCTATCATTGTCTCTTTCTAGAGAATTCCCACCATTTATCACATTGAACAGATTCACTGCAGTCCAAGCAAAAGCTTGTCTATACTTCCCCAACCTCTCACATACAGAAACAGCAATAGACTTCAACTTATCCTGGTTCTAAAAATCATCACATTCTATAATTACAATAAGTTTAGATTGCTAACCTTTTACCTTATCTTCTTTCAAATAGGGCTCCACACATTCACTCAAATCTCCTTGAAGCACTTTTTCCAGACGAATTACAATAAACAAGTCTGGGGAGGGGTTTGAAATATTAAAAATACAACCCCTTGCCAAAGAACTAGTATCAGAATAGGGAACATGTCCACCTAGCATCCTCTTCAAAGACTCAGGGTTTAGATCAAAATAGAATGTTTCAGAAACTTTTTTGCGTTCCTTGCAATCATATAAAGCCATTGAAGCAAAGAGGGGCTCAACTGAAATTTCCATACTAAAAAATAACAATCTTTAACCATCACTACCATAAAAATGTATTTTTTCCTGACCTCAACTGTTGGCATTTCACTAAAATGCGATGCCCCAAGTGTTCATAGGGGGCTGTAGCAGGCAATCTCTTTTCCACAGACTCACTGGACTCAAAGCTAATTTCTGCTGGGGCCAGATCAAACAGGGTGTCCTGCCTTTCAATCTGTCTCCTGGATTCATTTAGTTGATCTAAAGCTTCAGGAGCAGATTGCTCTAGAATCTCTGGAATCAGAGGATCTCCAGCTGAATGCCTCAGATCTAGGGAAGCCCATGAGTTCCTTGGTGTTAAAGTGTCCCCACAGGAGGATACAGAAGCAATAGACACAATGCTTTGTCTACTGCTACCTTGTGAGGTTAAATCTGTGAAAACAAACATAAAGAAACATATTCAGTATTTATTGTAGGCTGGCTTACCCAATTCACTACTGGATTCAGAAGGTGGGGCTTGAAAGTCAACCTCAAACTCCTGTTTCTGACTAGGATGCAGCTCTTTACATATATTGGATTTGCTGGATATGCTGCTGCTCAATGAACGGTGGTTGTAACGAATTATCTTCCAGTATGACTTATAGCACTCCACACAGGCTTGTACATGGGGAGGCAAAGTTTCACTACAAAATATTAAATTAGTGAATGAATAATCAACGAAAATGTTAATTATTCTACATTTTATCCTCGGGGACTATTGAATGGAGTGTTCTTAAAGGTCTTTCAATGATATCTACTTCAACATCTCCTGGAGGGATATCAAGTATTGCTCTCAATGGATCTCGATCAATTAAATTCTGATACCCATTCAGAAACTCTTCGAATTCCAATGGCTCTACTACCTCTGTCATCCAGCTCTGGAATAGAAATGTATTACAATGTTCAATAGTTTTTGCTTTAAGAGAAACAATCAGTGTTACCGAAGACGACGGCGATATAAGACCGGTTTTGGTGCAGGCAACGTTTCTACGTACGTCCGCAGCATGTTGCCTGAAAGGAATCAGAATAAGTATCGATAATGTAGAAGCTTGCGATGTTTTACTTAGATAGTTTTTGTGTAAACGCCCTTTGTGTTGACGCCATTTCTCAGTTTTATTTGTTTACATGCGATTACCTAACCTCAATTGGAAATGTCAAAACAGTTAGTGTCTAAATACCTTTCGGCGGGCGATCGGGCATCTCATCCTTATCAGTTACGAAGACGGGTCATTAGTCATTCATTAGAAGTCAAATTCTAAATGTGACGTCAACTGCACAAGATTTTCGTAGCAGCTTTTGATTCGTTCGTAGCAGATGGGCACAAAACGATGTTTTTGTAATTGCGCACAATGTTGCCAAACCAAGTGACTCGCGTAGTCTTCATCCGCCATTATTAGCAATTTTGAAGTTGTGTTTGCTTCATTGTGAATATTTCATATTTTCAGTGGTCCTGTTAATAATATTCGGATTGCGATGACAGGAATATTGCACAGAATTTCCTTTCTGATTTTATCAAATTAGAATTGTTTGTTAACAACGCTGAAATACTCGAAAATAGTGTGTTGACTTCGTTTTTTTTCAAACAGATGTCTTTAGAATAATTTTGAGTGTCATGATTCTTTGAACACTGCTCGATTCAATCAATGAAAGATGAGTTCCAATCCCGAGGAGGAAAAAGATGCCCCCAAAGCAGTGCCCCTGGATCTAGCCAGAAGTCAGATTGCTAGTCTAAGGACTATAGATGGCAAGACGCCTCTTTTGATGACCAATCAGTCATTAAGAAACATGAGAGTTGTCGCCCAAGGAACTTCAATCACCAACACATCAAGCCTCGGCAGCCCAACGCTCATCACCACAAATCTTGTGTCACAAGCTGTTCTCAAACCAGGTATGTACAAGCCCAATTTCAAGCTTTCTTTTTTATTCCTTCTTGATTTTAGACTCCACAAGGACACAAATAACCAACATAATAGCAACCAATCCATCTCAGTCTCAAATCACAGGGAATATATCTAGACCCAACCAGATCACACTTTCTGCTGCCCCACAGAGCATAGGGACCTCCTATCATGTACCCCGAGGTCCTGCAGTTGTTGCCAATCTAGCAGCTCCCAGGAGCACAGTGACCACAGTTCGTGCCCCCATGGTGGTCACAGCCCAAGTGGGACAGACCCATTCCTTTGTGAGACCCCCAAGAACACCAAGTCCAGCTCAAGGAACAGCCTGGTTGACAAGCAGTTCCACTGGCACTCAGATCAAGGGAGCCCCAACAGTGCTGAGCTCCCCAGTCAGAGGTGCTACTGTGACTGGGAAGCCACAGATCATCAGCAGGGCTCATCCACAGACAGTGTCTGCTATCAGGCCTGGGACTATTTTGCAAAATGCTATTTCAATTGGGCAATCTGGTCAGGTAATCTTGATTTTATTTTGGGGGAGAGTTTGTAGAAATGCTTGAAATATTTTTTGCAGATTCATTCTTTCAAACCTGGAGTGACAGGGATTCAAGCCTTGGGTAATACAGTGACTATAGCTCAAGTGCTTCCAAGTCGTACTCAGACAATAGTCTATGGTACTAATACTACTGCACAGTTTACTCCAACAGCTAGAATAACTGTTGCTAACCCTAATCAGGGTCAGAGAACTCCACAGCCTAGGTCTTTGGTAAGCATTTTTTAATGAAAGTGTTTAGACTGCTGACCAGTCAGTGGAATACATGCTTTCTGTATAAAATTGGTCAGCAACCATAAAAAAAAGTATAGTATGTGGACTGGTCAGCAGCCTATAATTTTTTTATGGAATGCCCAGTAGTCTGTAGACTATACTTTTGAAATACATTCTTTCTGTATAATTAAAAGGATCCAAGACTGTTAGTAGCTGGATGGTTAGACATTTTTTTTTATTTATTTCAGTTATTGCATTACATTCTCTTCTTCATTGATACATTTCATACAAATAATATATAAAGTATAATTAATCCTGTGGTCCCATGTTCAAATCCCATATGTCAGTTTTTTTTTTCAATCAATTATATTTTCACCAGATTTTTGTTTCACTAATGGGTTAGTCTGTTTGGGTTTGAGTATACATAACTTTCTTTTTATATTATTTTGTTCTAATCTAGTTTTTCCTTCCTCCATTGTTAGTTCACAAGATTCTTTTGTTCAGGTATTTCTTCCACCTATAGGTTAGTGTGTGTGTAAGTATATCTCATTTTTTTAGAAGTATTTTTTTCAAATCATGTTTTTCTTTTTAAAAATTGATGATTTTATTCTACTGGTCGGCTTTCTAATCTAGTTTTTCCCTCCTCCATTGTTAGTTCACAAGACTCTTTTGTTCAGGTTTTTGTTCCACCAATAGGTTAGTGTGTGTGTAAGTATATCTCATTTTTCTAGAAGTTTTTTTTTTTCAAATCATGTTTTTCTCTCTTAAAATTAATGATTTTAGTCTACAGGTCGGCTTTCTAATCTAGTTTTTCCTTCCTCCATTGTTAGTTCACAAGATTCTTTTGTTCAGGTTTTTCTGCCACCTATAGGTTAGTGTGTGTGTAAGTATATCTCATTTTTTTAGAAGTTTTTTTTTCAAAATCATGTTTTTCTTTCTTAAAATTGATGATTTAAGTCTACTGGTCGGCTTTCTAATCTAGTTTTTCCTTCCTCCATTGCTAGTTCACAAGATTCTTTTGTTCAGGTTTTTGTTCCACCAATAGGTTGGTGTGTGTGTAAGTATATCTCATTTTTCTAGAAGTTTTTTCTTCAAATCATGTTTTTCTTTCTTAAAATTGATGATTTTAGTCTACTGGTCGGCTTTCTAATCTAGTTTTTCCTTCCTCCATTGTTAGTTCACAAGATTCTTTTGTTCAGGTTTTTGTTCCACCAATAGGTTGGTGTGTGTGTAAGTATATCTCATTTTTTTAGAAGTTTTTTTTTTTCAAATCATGTTTTTCTTTCTTAAAATTGATGATTTTAGTCTACTGGTCGACTTTCTAATCTAGTTTTTCCTTCCTCCATTGTTAGTTCACAAGATTCTTTTGTTCAGGTTTTTCTGCCACCTATAGGTTAGTGTGTGTGTAAGTATATCTCATTTTTTTAGAAGTTTTTTTTTTAAATCATGGTTTTCTTTCTTAAAATTGATGATTTCAGTCTACTGGTCGGCTTTCTAATCTAGTTTTTCCTTCCTCCATTGTTAGTTCACAAGATTCTTTTGTTCAGGTTTTTGTTCCACCTATAGGTTAGTGTGTGTGTAAGTATATCTCATTTTTCTAGAAGTTTTTGTTTTCAAATCATGTTTTTCTCTCTTAAAATTAATGATTTTAGTCTACAGGTCGGCTTTCTAATCTAGTTTTTCCTTCCTCCATTGTTAGTTCACAAGATTCTTTTGTTCAGGTTTTTCTGCCACCTATAGGTTAGTGTGTGTGTAAGTATATCTCATTTTTTTAGAAGTTTTTTTTTTTCAAATCATGTTTTTCTTTCTTAAAATTGATGATTTTAGTCTACTGGTCGACTTTCTAATCTAGTTTTTCCTTCCTCCATTGTTAGTTCACAAGATTCTTTTGTTCAGGTTTTTCTGCCACCTATAGGTTAGTGTGTGTGTAAGTATATCTCATTTTTTTAGAAGTTTTTTTTTTAAATCATGGTTTTCTTTCTTAAAATTGATGATTTTAGTCTACTGGTCGGCTTTCTAATCTAGTTTTTCCTTCCTCCATTGTTAGTTCACAAGATTCTTTTGTTCAGGTTTTTGTTCCACCAATAGGTTGGTGTGTGTGTAAGTATATCTCATTTTTCTAGAAGTTTTTTTTTTTTCAAATCATGTTTTTCTCTCTTAAAATTAATGATTTTAGTCTACAGGTCGGCTTTCTAATCTAGTTTTTCCTTCCTCCATTGTTAGTTCACAAGATTCTTTTGTTCAGGTTTTTGTTCCACCAATAGGTTGGTGTGTGTGTAAGTATATCTCATTTTTTTAGAAGTTTTTTTTTTTCAAATCATGTTTTTCTTTCTTAAAATTGATGATTTTAGTCTACTGGTCGGCTTTCTAATCTAGTTTTTCCTTCCTCCATTGTTAGTTCACAAGGTTCTTTTGTTCAGGTTTTTGTTCCACCAATAGGTTGGTGTGTGTGTAAGTATATCTCATTTTTCTAGAAGTTTTTTTTTTTCAAATCATGTTTTTCTCTCTTAAAATTAATGATTTTAGTCTACAGGTCGGCTTTCTAATCTAGTTTTTCCTTCCTCCATTGTTAGTTCACAAGATTCTTTTGTTCAGGTTTTTGTTCCACCAATAGGTTGGTGTGTGTGTAAGTATATCTCATTTTTTTAGAAGTTTTTTTTTTTCAAATCATGTTTTTCTTTCTTAAAATTGATGATTTTAGTCTACTGGTCGGCTTTCTAATCTAGTTTTTCCTTCCTCCATTGTTAGTTCACAAGGTTCTTTTGTTCAGGTTTTTGTTCCACCAATAGGTTGGTGTGTGTGTAAGTATATCTCATTTTTCTAGAAGTTTTTTTTTTTCAAATCATGTTTTTCTCTCTTAAAATTAATGATTTTAGTCTACAGGTCGGCTTTCTAATCTAGTTTTTCCTTCCTCCATTGTTAGTTCACAAGATTCTTTTGTTCAGGTTTTTGTTCCACCAATAGGTTGGTGTGTGTGTAAGTATATCTCATTTTTTTAGAAGTTTTTTTTTTTCAAATCATGTTTTTCTTTCTTAAAATTGATGATTTTAGTCTACTGGTCGGCTTTCTAATCTAGTTTTTCCTTCCTCCATTGTTAGTTCACAAGGTTCTTTTGTTCAGGTTTTTGTTCCACCAATAGGTTGGTGTGTGTGTAAGTATATCTCATTTTTTTAGAAGTTTTTTTTTTTCAAATCATGTTTTTCTTTCTTAAAATTGATGATTTTAGTCTACTGGTCGACTTTCTAATCTAGTTTTTCCTTCCTCCATTGTTAGTTCACAAGATTCTTTTGTTCAGGTTTTTGTTCCACCAATAGGTTGGTGTGTGTGTAAGTATATCTCATTTTTTTAGAAGTTTTTTTTTTTCAAATCATGTTTTTCTTTCTTAAAATTGATGATTTTAGTCTACTGGTCGACTTTCTAATCTAGTTTTTCCTTCCTCCATTGTTAGTTCACAAGATTCTTTTGTTCAGGTTTTTCTGCCACCTATAGGTTAGTGTGTGTGTAAGTATATCTCATTTTTTTAGAAGTTTTTTTTTTAAATCATGGTTTTCTTTCTTAAAATTGATGATTTTAGTCTACTGGTCGGCTTTCTAATCTAGTTTTTCCTTCCTCCATTGTTAGTTCACAAGATTCTTTTGTTCAGGTTTTTGTTCCACCAATAGGTTGGTGTGTGTGTAAGTATATCTCATTTTTTTAGAAGTTTTTTTTTTTCAAATCATGTTTTTCTCTCTTAAAATTAATGATTTTAGTCTACAGGTCGGCTTTCTAATCTAGTTTTTCCTTCCTCCATTGTTAGTTCACAAGATTCTTTTGTTCAGGTTTTTGTTCCACCAATAGGTTGGTGTGTGTGTAAGTATATCTCATTTTTCTAGAAGTTTTTTTTTTTCAAATCATGTTTTTCTCTCTTAAAATTAATGATTTTAGTCTACAGGTCGGCTTTCTAATCTAGTTTTTCCTTCCTCCATTGTTAGTTCACAAGATTCTTTTGTTCAGGTTTTTGTTCCACCAATAGGTTGGTGTGTGTGTAAGTATATCTCATTTTTTTAGAAGTTTTTTTTTTTCAAATCATGTTTTTCTCTCTTAAAATTAATGATTTTAGTCTACAGGTCGGCTTTCTAATCTAGTTTTTCCTTCCTCCATTGTTAGTTCACAAGATTCTTTTGTTCAGGTTTTTGTTCCACCAATAGGTTGGTGTGTGTGTAAGTATATCTCATTTTTTTAGAAGTTTTTTTTTTTCAAATCATGTTTTTCTTTCTTAAAATTGATGATTTTAGTCTACTGGTCGACTTTCTAATCTAGTTTTTCCTTCCTCCATTGTTAGTTCACAAGATTCTTTTGTTCAGGTTTTTCTGCCACCTATAGGTTAGTGTGTGTGTAAGTATATCTCATTTTTTTAGAAGTTTTTTTTTTAAATCATGGTTTTCTTTCTTAAAATTGATGATTTTAGTCTACTGGTCGGCTTTCTAATCTAGTTTTTCCTTCCTCCATTGTTAGTTCACAAGATTCTTTTGTTCAGGTTTTTGTTCAACCAATAGGTTATTGTGTGTGTAAGTATATCTCATTTTTTTAGAAGTTTTTTTTTAAATCATGTTTTTCTTTCTCAAAATTGATGATTTTAGTCTACTGGTCGGCTTTCTAATCTAGTTTTTCCTTCCTCCATTGTTAGTTCACAAGATTCTTTTGTTCAGGTTTTTGTTCAACCAATAGGTTATTGTGTGTGTAAGTATATCTCATTTTTTTAGAAGTTTTTTTTTAAATCATGTTTTTCTTTCTCAAAATTGATGATTTTAGTCTACTGGTCGGCTTTCTAATCTAGTTTTTCTTTCCTCCATTGTTAGTTCACAAGATTCTTGTGTTCAGGTTTTTGTTTCACCTATAGGTTAGTGTGTGTGTAAGTATATCTCATTTTTTTAGAAGTTTTTTTTTCAAATCATGTTTCTCTTTCTTAAAATTGATGATTTTAGTCTACTGGTCGGCACCCTAAACAAACAAACAAGTATACATTGCCGACTGGTCGGCAGTCTATCCACTCCCTTTTTTAATTTCACTGTCTTCCACTATAAAATTTTTCTTTAGGGCCAAGTTACAACTACAAGATTGACAGTTCCAGTGAATGTTTCCCAATCAGGTACACGTTTAGTTGCCCCCCAAGCAACTGTACTAGCTTCTGGCACCAGAATTTCCACCATTCCCACAAATTCCGGTTCTGTAGGTAGGATTGTCACTACTCAGCCAAATGTCAATTTGGGCCGGCTGTCAGTGGCTGCAGCTTCACCCACGGCTGTTTCAAGTACTAATATTCTGGGTCAAACAAGGATATCCACCTTGAATTTGCATTCTTTAGTGGTGGCAAACAGCTCACAAGCTAGGAGTATTCCAGCTCAGGGTGCAAAGGTTATTACACAACCTGCACCAGGTAATATATGTCTGAGTTGAAATTTCAGTGACAGCTTTGAGGAATGTTTGTTTGTTTTCAGGTACTATACATTTAACGCCACTGGCGACGCCCGTTAAAACGACAGCCAGCATTGTATCTACAACTCCTAGAACAAGTAAGAGTTTTGTTCATTTTGATTATTGTATTTTTTGTTATTATTGAAGTCCGGTTCCAAAATTGATTATAACATAACCTGCAAACTGCAAGTCCAACTTTGACAGGTTGACATCAGTCATGACACAAAACAATTGATTTGTGTTCCCTGAATCATGGAACATTGGGATTTTTGACAGATTGCTTTTCTTCTTCATCATCAATAAAACAGATAATAGGAACCATAGATAAATTATAGTCCTAGATGGCCAACGCACATGTTAACCTCTTGTTTCATCAGCGCCTCTGGTGTTTGGTGGCGGAACTATTTCTAGTAGCGGGAATTTTGAATAATTCATGATATTTTCAATTATTTGACATAAAGAGAAGCTTTCATAAATAGGGGAGGAGATGAAATATCATAAGCACTTTATGCTTTCATCTTTTCCCACAATTTACAGACACTGTGAAATGAAAATGGTCGGTAAATGAGAGCAAGTTATCAGAATGCATACTCTTTTAATAAGGTCATACATGAACACCTGTAAAGATCAGAATGAAATATAACTTAACAATTATCACATGATCTTCGATCATTTTATCCTCTACATAAACCTGGGATTTTCTTTCCTGAAATTTGGAAAACGATGTCAGGAGAGAAATATCAAATCTCACATCCTGGCACTGCACACTAGTCCAGTCTCATCATAAACTTCACTATTGTTCGAATCAAAAGTAAATTATTGCTGATTGATTTCTTCAATCATGATTGAAAAATGAAGTAATGGTCATAAATCAAGAATGTAACATTTTGAAACGGAAAAACCACACTTGTAGACTGGAAAAAATCACAACATTCACAACAAAGAAATGTCAATTGTCATTCATCAAACAATATATGAACGCCATTTTGAAATCAATGCCTGCGCCTGCGCACTATCACGAATCACCGAACACATGTCAAATGGCCACCTATTGTTTGGTGGCTAAACTAGAAAATGGAACAAGGCCGGTCCATTGAGGTCTATAGTATAGAGTGTAGTTTCTTTATGATAGGGACTCCAACATTCATGGTACTTTATCTTTGGATACTTGAAATATCTGAAATGTAGACTGTTACAAATGGTTTTTTTATTTATTTTTCATTCATTAACATGAATGAAGATGCCTGGGAGATTGAGACGTAGTGTCTGTATTCTAAGACCCTTTTGCATCATGGACTAATTTACAGTCACCTGAAATTCATGAACCCACTCGGGAGTTCAATTTCGATCTCCCGATATGGAATCTTAAACGGAAGGCATGCTGTAACACGAACGATCCACGAATATCTCTTCACATAATTAACAAGAATATATGTCTAAATAGTTGACCCTTTCTTTTCTCTCAATTGATTCATGATACATAGCCTAATAATTGAACTTGATAACTAGCAGACCTCGCAAACGTTGTTTTGCTATATACATTATTTCTATATTATATTTATTCAGTTCAATATTCATTAAGACACTATAATTATTTTATCTTCTACTACCATTTATTTCAGCTTATTTTTAGTTCTTTTGAATTTCCTAATTTTGATGAAAGAATCATAATATCCGACTCCTAAACCCCATATGAAAATTTTGAATAGAATCGGAACATAATTACAAAACTCGTCCGCAGTATTGGATCTATCATCTTGAATTCCCTAATTTTGACGAAGGAATCATAATATTTGATCCCGAAAACCCCCAATTACGAAATTTTCTATTGAATAAGTATATAATTACAAAACTCGTCCGGTATATTGGTTCCACCGTCTTGAATTTCCAAATCCCGCTCTTTCCAAATTTTGTCAAAAGAATCATAATCTCCGACCCCGAAAACACCCCGATAACAACTTTGAAGTGAGTCGGATCATAATTACAATACTCGTCCGCCATCTTGAATTTTGACGAAAGAATCAAAATCTCCGACCCCGAGGATCACCAGATACCAAATTTGAATAAAATCAGACCCTAATTAAAAAATCCGCCATTTTTGATCCGCCATCTTGAATTTCTCAATTTTGGCGAAGGAATCATAATCCCCGATCACGAAACCCACTAGGAACCAATTTTGAAAAGAATCGGATTATAATTACAAAACTCGTCCGCCATCTTGAATTTCCAAATTCCGCGCGTAATTTTCAAATTTTGACGAAAGAATCATAATCTCCGACCCCGAAAACCTTCAGATACCAATTTTGAATAGAATCGGATCATAATTACAAAACTCGTCCGATATATTAGATCCGCCATCTTGAATTTCCTAATAGTACCGGGATAAAAGTATCCTATAACCTCCTCCCGGTTCTAAGCTATCTCCCCACCAATTTTCAGCCAAATCGTTATGGGATAGATTAAAGAATGTGGCTTACACATTATTCGCGAGATTCACGAAGTGGGCGACATCTAGATTACATAATACGAACTTCAAACTGGGGGAAAACAAACGGTTGTCTATGGATAAAGTGCATAGACTACATTGCATTCAGCTTGCTGTAGCTGTAGTCAAACTTGTCAATGACATAAAGTGTTGGCACTGTTGGTAGTGATGATGGTTGAGTTGGTTAATTTTTTTACATTATTACATTTTCATTAGTTTAGTGAACAGTGAAGGGTAAGGAATTGGAGATAGTTCAAACAATTCAAACTAATTATGACGAGCAAATCAATTGACATATAAAAGAACAGCTACAACATGTTTACAATACACAGATTGTCCTGCTTTGCATGAACGAATACAAATCCATTGTTCTATAGGAGTTCCTCTGGACCCCAACTTCAATTTTACTCCATGTGGGGAAGATTTCATCGCCGAAGTTTGTAGACAAAGTGCAAAAATGTGCCTTTTGTTGAAGTCTTCTGACTCACACAAAATCACATGATTAGCATGGAGAACTGCTTCTCCGTTTACTACTGGTCGGCTTTTTCCATCTAAATAGAGCAAAATATCTGCCAAAAGAACATCTCATCAGGCATTATTAGCGTTTTCGATCGAATATTGACAATTAATGTCAAGAAATTTAAAAACTTATCACTCTTATCAGTACACAGTACACAAGCTAATGGCACTAATGGGATTGAGTGAGGATTGAGTTTGTTTTCCCCCAGTTTTGACGTGGTTTTGACATGGAACGATGAAAACCGAGCGCCACCTGGTAACATTGATTCCCGCCAATAGTGGCTGTGATAACAAAAAAGACCAAGAAGTTTACAGTGGCGGCTCCTCAGAGATTCTCCTTTAACTGATATTATCTATACTTTCTCATCAAAAGAACACCAAAATACATGGATTTCCTGTCTTTAGGAAAATATTTTTGAATTGGCAACAGTGCTTGCCCACGCATCACACATTGAAGTCTGCAAATCACGCGTAAAATATTCAACTTGGCAACATCTATAGGAGGCTAGACTCCTTCACAATGCGCAACCCACGCGCGCAATGCAAATGCCCGAATACGCCCGAAAAGCACGTGTTTGTCGTGTCGCGTCGCGAATTGCGGACAATCTAGTGCGAGTGCATTGTTTATGTTAGGTTAATGGTTAGAGGCTCTATAAATTTCTGAAAAATGAGTGTTTCAAACGATTGCGATTTAGTGGAATACTTTTTGGTGAACCCATTCAGTGTTTTGTCTTATGAAGATAAATTGATTGTGAAAAACAAACGTCCGACACCGGAATTAAAGAATCTGATTGTAAACAGGTAACAAACAAAATCGAAAGCTATTGATTTGGGTGAGTCGTAGAGAGTTGTTTTTCACAATAAATCTCATATCATTCAGTCTCCTCTGTCATGAAAGTCACGAGCCGCCACTGGAAGTTTATTGAAGTGGATATTTTTTTGTTTTTACAGTAAGTGTTCCAGCTGCCATAGTAACACAACAAAGACAAGCCTCTCTGGTGCCATCTCAAGCCATATCCATTGCCAAAGTTTTTCCACAGTCTGACAGCCAAGGGGCCGGCGGCTCCTCTACTAATGTCTTCATCCATGCTCCTGTTCAGTCGACTGTCAGACGGTCATCGCCTAGTAAGTACAGTCTTCTCTTCTGTTTCATTGTTGACCATTCAGTTTTTGTTAGTTTGTGATTGGTTGTATTTTTCCTACCACTATCATTACCAATGTGGTCATGTTTGAACTGGTATTGAGCTCATTATCATGAACTGCTATTTTTTTCGACCAGATATGATGCATGTTTTATTCAACAGGTCATTTTTTTTATTATTAAGACTCACAAAAAATATTGTTCCACCTGTTATCATCAATTGCTATTTTTGATGATTTTAACGGAACGCCTTCAACCAAATCTGACTTCTAATTCGTCAAAATTGTGTCTTCCGAGTTTTTTTCGGATGTGTAGGACACTCGGGAAAAAAAATATTTTTCGACCTGAACGAACCTATATTTTCATGAATTGCTAATTTTGAAAATTTTCACGAGAAGTCTTGGACCACATCTGATTCCTGATTCGTTTTTAACATGTCAAAATTAGTGTCTCTGGAGTTTTTCAGGTGTGTAGGACGCTCAGGGAGGAAACATATTTTTCGATGTGAACTAACCTATATTTTCATGACTTGCTGATTTTGAAAATTTTAACGAGAAGTCTTGGACCAAATCCGATTCCTGATTCAATCTTAACATGTCAAAATTAGTGTCTTTGGAGTTTTTCAGATGTGTAGGACGCTCGGGAAGAAAAAATATTTTTCGATGTGAACTAACCTATATTATCATGAATTGCTATTTTTGAAAATTTTAACGAAAAGTCTTGGACCAAATCTGATTCCTGATTCGTTTTCAACATGTCAAAATTAGTGTCTTTGGAGTTTTTCAGATGTGTAGGACGCTCGGGGAGAAAAAATATTTTTCGACGTGAACTAACCTATATTATCATGAATTGCTAATTTCGAAAATCTTAACGAAAAGTCTTGGACCAAATCTGATTCCTGATTCGTTTTTATCATGTCAAAATTAGTGTATTTGGAGTTTTTCAGATGTGTAGGACACCCGGGGAGAAAAAATATTTTTCGACGTGAACTAACCTATATTATCATGAATTGCTAATTTCGAAAATCTTAACGAAAAGTCTTGGACAAAATCTGATTCCTGATTCGTTTTTAACATGTCAAAATTAGTGTCTTTGGAGTTTTTCAGATGTGTAGGACGCTCGGTGAGAAAAAATATTTTTCGACGTGAACTAACCTATATTATCATGAATTGCTGATTTTGAAAATTCTGACGAAAAGTCTTGGACCAAATCTGATTCCTGATTCGTTATTAACATGTCAAAATTAGTGTCTTTGGAGTTTTTCAGATGTGTAGGACGCTCGGGGAGAAAAAATATTTTTCGACGTGAACTAACCTATATTATCATGAATTGGTGATTTTGAAAATTTTAACGAAAAGTCTTGGACCAAATCTGATTCCTGATTCGTTTTTAACATGTCAAAATTAGTGTCTTTGGAGTTTTTCAGATGTGTAGGACGCTCGGGGAGAAAAAATATTTTTCGACGCGAACTAACCTATATTTTCATGAATTGGTGATTTTGAAAATTTTAACGAAAAGTCTTGGACCAAATCTGATTCCTGATTCGTTTTTATCATGTCAAAATTAGTGTATTTGGAGTTTTTCAGATGTGTAGGACACCCGGGGAGAAAAAATATTTTTCGACCTGAACTAACCTATATTATCATGAATTGCTAATTTCGAAAATCTTAACGAAAAGTCTTGGACAAAATCTGATTCCTGATTCGTTTTTAACATGTCAAAATTAGTGTCTTTGGAGTTTTTCAGATGTGTAGGACGCTCGGTGAGAAAAAATATTTTTCGACGTGAACTAACCTATATTATCATGAATTGCTGATTTTGAAAATTCTGACGAAAAGTCTTGGACCAAATCTGATTCCTGATTCGTTATTAACATGTCAAAATTAGTGTCTTTGGAGTTTTTCAGATGTGTAGGACGCTCGGGGAGAAAAAATATTTTTCGACGCGAACTAACCTATATTTTCATGAATTGGTGATTTTGAAAATTTTAACGAAAAGTCTTGGACCAAATCTGATTCCTGATTCGTTTTTAACATGTCAAAATTAGTGTCTTTGGAGTTTTTCAGATGTGTAGAACGCTCGGGGAGAAAAAATATTTTTCGACGCGAACTAACCTATATTTTCATGAATTGGTGATTTTGAAAATTTTAACGAAAAGTCTTGGACCAAATCTGATTCCAGATTCGTTTTTAACATGTCAAAATTAGTGTCTTTGGAGTTTTTCAGATGTGTAGGACGCTCGGTAAAAAAAAAATAATTTTCGACGTGAACTAACCTATATTATCATGAATTGCTATTTTTGAAAATTTTAACGAGAAGTCTTGGACCAAATCTGATTCCTGATACGTTTTTAACATGTCAAAATTAATGTCTTTGGAGTTTTTCAGATGTGTAGGACGCTCGGTGAGAAAAAATATTTTTCGACGTGAACTAACCTATATTATCATGATTTGCTGATTTTGAAAATTTTAACGAAACGTCTTGGACCAAATCCGATACCTGATTCGTTTTTAACATGTCAAAATTAGTGTTTTTGAAGTTTTTCAGATGTGTAGGACAATCGGGGAGAAAAAATATTTTTCGACGTGAACTAACCTATATTATCATGAATTGCTGATTTTGAAAATTTTAACGAAAAGTCTTGGACCAAATCTGATTCCTGATTCGTTTTTAACATGTCAAAATTAGTGTTTTTGAAGTTTTTCAGATGTGTAGGACGTTCAGGGAGAAAAAATATTTTTCGACGTGAACTAACCTATATTATCTAAATTGCTGATTTTGAAAATTTTAACAAGAAGTCTTGGACCAAATCTGATTCCTGATTCGTTTTTAACATGTCAAAATTAGTGTCTTTGGAGTTTTTCAGATGTGTAGGACGCTCGGGGAGAAAAAATATTTTTCGATGTGAACTAACCTATATTATCATGAATTGCTATTTTTGAAAATTTAAACGAAAAGTCTTGGACCAAATCTGATTCCTGATTCGTTTTTAACATGTCAAAATTAGTGTCTTTGGAGTTTTTTAGATGTGTAGGACCATAGATTAACGACTCCCCTAGATATACACCGCCCATGCATTCAGACGGTAACGCTTGTTTGGGATTTAGTTGGGACCCCGAATTTTTACCATCTATCGCCGCTATTGCGAATTACCGCGCGTGGTCGCAAATTCGATTCTTTACAGATTTCTGTAACATGGCATTCAGCGTATAGAAGCGGAGTTGTCAAATGTTAGTTTTTGTTGGATTTCTAATATATTGGTAGGTACATGTAGATTATTATTAATCTACGATACTGCAACCACAATTATTTTTAGTATAAGACTTCCTTAGTATGTATAAGAGATTTCAATCTTTAATCTATGAATCTATGGTAGGTATTATGTTATTTTATTAGTTTTCCATTGTGCTCGAATTATGATTACTCATGATGTGTTATTGTGCCTACCTATGTGAAGCTGGAAAATTCAAGAACGTGAGTTGACAATAAATAAATGAACATGAGTGTGAGAAAGTAGAAATTTTGGAAATTCAATTGATCGAAAACTCCAGAGTTTAGAAGCTAAAGATGCATTTGGATATGGGGCACTGTTTTTAGGGTAAACAGTCGATGAATTTAGATTGTTTAGAATGTTTAGATCTGTCTATATACAAGGAAGTCCAAATTCGTGATAGTTACACCATTTTTAATTCAACAACGGCTGGAACAATTTTCATGATATTTGATTTTTTATTGTATTCATCTGAAATATGGGATAATAAGTTCAAAAATTCTTCAAAATTAGGAAATTCGAGATGGCGAACCCAATATGACGAGTTCGGTGATTATGATCAGATTCTATTCAAGATTGGTATCTGGGGGTTTACATGGTCGGAGATTATGGTTCCTTCGTCAAAAATTCTATATGGTGGATCCAATATGCCGGACGAGTTTTGTAATTTATAATCGGATTCTATTCAAAATTGGTATCTGGGAGTTTTCGAGGTTAAAGATTAATGGACAAAATTATAGAAAATTCTAGATAGTGGATTCAATATGGCGGAAGAGCGTTGTAATGAATAGTAAAGTTTTTGATAAATAGTATTCACGAAACGAGATTCAATAGATTATTTCACTTTACAAAACAGTCGTGAGACAAAATAGTAATTTTTTATCTAGAGCGCGAAATGCTACTTTGGTGATCGAGATCTGATTTTTTTAAAGAGGCGTAGCCGAGTTAAAAAAATAGTCGAGATGACCAAAGTATTTCGCGCTCGAGTTGCAAACAACATTTTTTCTACGAACGTCAAAAAATATAGTTCTAATGTAAAAATATGCTTCGCTTGACATAAAAAATAGTGTTGAACTGGCTTAAAAGACCTTCCCCTTTCCCTAGTTACGCACGATGTTCCACGAGCATACCAAATAGGAATTTCCTTTCGTGCGTTCCAAGAGATAGAACAAAGTTATTGTTGAACATCCAGAAATAAATGATTTCGTGGATGTTTGCTCGATTGAGGACTATGAGGTTGAAATATAAATATCTCATATATTTTACGTAACAATGCGCGAAGTAGGTACTTCGCGCACTGTTTTACTTCGCGCATTGTTTTGTGCATGGTATCATGGTAACGTAGGAAACTGAAAAAAGTGTCACTTCGCAATTTGTTATCAATGCGCGAACCTTGTCATTTTTTGACGTTTGTAGGAAAAATATATTTTATATATCATTCTTATGAGAGAACAATCATATCATCAAAGGCCATTCTTCAAAAATACCTATATTCCATTTTTCTTTTATCTGTCCTTAAATATTTTAAAAGCTTTCATTTAACTTGCATTGTATGTTTGTATGGATGTATATGTATGTATGTTCGGGTGGAATCTTTGAACTCAATTTTGAAGTAGAAATCTTCAACCGATTGAGCTGAAATTTTGTATACACGTTCAGTTTGGATGACAATGCACGATAAGTTGTGTCACGTTATTCTAAATCCAATATGGC